CAAAATGCATTAAAAATATCTGGACTCAATGAAGTGAAAACTGAAAGCCCTGCAAAACCTATGTTACAGATAATAATTGCCTTGTTACATGGACCTCTAGGTACTATGAATCTGAAAGGGAGACCAGGCATATCTTAAAAGAATTTTCAGCACCCTGAAATGATAGTTCTTTGGGTTGCTTGAAAAGTACATGATAGTTAACCAATTTTGCATACTAATTTGGTATTTTATGGTAAATGTTAGCACACTTGTTTGCAGACTGGAAAGAATGCTAATAAGCAGACCAATGAAGAGACTGGGAGGCACATCATGGATTGTACAAACAACCGTGAGCCTCTGATCGAATGTATGGCTACTTGATGATCAATTAAGAAAATGAGTAGCCATATGAAAACATTTGTGATTGTTGTAAGTTTTAGGGTGTTACAAATCCTGCAGTAATTTTCAACCTTTCCCTGGATATTTGTAAACTGGTGCAAACCAACAAATTCTTAGCTATTAACAGTAGTGCTAGTCCTTCAATATTCACATTCTACCCAGCTGATGCAGGATCCTGCCAGTGGCAATTTGCAACATATCTAGGGGAAGGTATTGATTCACTTTGACAGTTCTAGCTTCCCAAGTCCTCTGGGATGCTGCCATTCCAAATGGAACTGCTTTCCAGCTTGTCATTACCTACAACATTGGGAAAAAAAATATCCTCTCCAAGAAATCATACCCTGTGCTGGCAGCAGGCAGATGGGTAGATCAGCATAAACCAGGAGCACAATATCACAGGTAACCTTGTTTTTATTGGATGTAAGAGGAAAGAAAAAGGCACAAAGCAATTCAAACACACTGCACACAAATTGTGCAAACCAAAGGCAGTTTACAGCTTAAAACTGAAAATAATTTACCCAATGCAAGCAAATACTTGAAATGCTCAGGCTGCATCCTAAATATATTTATTTGGAAGCTAGGTACTCCACAAATAAAATGACCCTAAATATGTAAGGTAATCATCTTACTGTGTTCAGTAGCATTCTCAGTAGGGAAAGGATTTCCCTTATCTGTTTTGATTCTATTATGTTCTTTTTTTCAGAAACGAAGCCAGATGTATATAAATATCTTTTCAGACTAGAAACACTACTTTCAGAATGAAAACTGGTTTGCAAGCAGGATGCCCCTTATGGTATGCACCTTCACACCATTTCCACCTATGTGAAACAGATTTTGCAGAGTTTTGTATTGTTTCAAAAACCTGTCCAACAGGGGTGAACAGTGGAACAAAGGGTATATACAGCTCACGGGACACAAAGCTTCTCTCAAACCACTTTCAATTGCCTAGTACTGTCAAAAGTTATACAGTCAGATCCAAACTGTCAGTAGATTTAATCAGAACAATGTAGGAATAAAGGAGAGGCACAAGGGAAAAACGCCTGACCCAAGAGCACAATCATCTGAGGAAAAAACACCCTAAAAGGAAATGGAACCAGTATGTAAATTCAGTACATAGGAAGAAGTGAAGACTTCCCATTACAAAACAAGAAGATATAAACAAGTGTGCTTGGACTGACACATTTATGCTAGAAGTGTCATATATGTTCCCTGTATTCAAAATACCCCAAATCCCAAATTAAAAGAATCCTGCATTTACATTTGTTAAAAAAAGCACGCACAGCTTAGTCATTGGAGGAAAAAACTGTATTTTTGCTTTACTTTGAGGATCAGGTACAAGCCATGGAAAGTCATTGTTCCCTGATCTCTATTTGTTTGATATTGCTTGAAGGAGGTAATCTTAGACTCAGACCTCTGTGAACTGAAATTCCAAACAGTAACTATTTCAAGTTATATGCTCAGCTTTCTCACAAACTAAGGAAGAATCGATCGTCTAATGAAAAGTAGCATTAAAAGAAAATGATTCTGCAAAGACAAGGTGGCAAAACAAATGGCTGAGTGAAGTAGCTTTATTTCTAGAAAAACAAATTCAGAGAGGAGAGAGAGGAAGGGAGCGAGAAGGGGACAGAGAGGGTTGGCTCTACTTAGTTTTGGTTCTCACTGTGTGCAGCCCTGGCTCCTGGCATGTGGTTGTTATATTATTCCCCATGTAAGAAGCCTCAAAGGAAAAACAGTGCCACAGTTCTGCTCTATGGCTTTTAAACACACTGTAGAACACTTCAGAATTCTACCCACAATGAAAGGTACATATATGAAGCTTGGGATTCTGTGACCTGAACCTACAATTTCCATGCTTTTTTATATTACACAAATGCAAGGTGGATGAGGAAAGATGACGGACTGGAACCCGTCGGGACATATGGACTGCAGTGGCTTATGGACATTTATGCTCCGCCTCACTACATTAGGAACCAATAATCTGTAATTGTAAGCACTTGGATAGGCAAACTGTATCACACATTAGCAACAGGTTTTAAATATGTGAAGTGGAACAGGAAAATAATCACCCCATCATGGGGCTAGAATTAACTCTTCACTATGAGATTCTAGCTGTGGCAGGAAATGTAGAAGGCAAGCTCATTCACCTGCTGACACGCTTTCTCTCAAAAAAGAAAGTAAATTGACAAAATAGCAGCAACTCATAGTAGTTAATGCACCATTTCTTTAAATGGTTTCAAAATAAAATGTGGTGTATATTAAAGGACATAAAAATGGCAATGCACCTGCTTTCATGGAAATAACGGTCCCATCAAATTTTTATATATACTAATTTGAAATGGCCAGAAATTCCTAAATTAACTTGCCCCTTAGCCTATACTAGACATACTGAACTAAAAATACACAATTATCAGATCAAAGCTTCATTTCCAGGCATTTGATCAAAACAATTTAATCCTCACCTCAAGAGGATGCCCATCACTGGAATTCAAAAGCCAACCAGTTCTACATTTCACTACTGCTTAAACAGTATGTAAATTTTGTACAATAAAATGTTGTACTACTTCTAAAGTTCCGTACTGTCTTTAGATAACAAGTAGTATCAGAGACAATAAAGTGATTATAATTATGAAAAATATTCAGTTTCTCCTAAACGTGTCCTGATGAAGAGTGACTCATAAGTACAATAGGTAGTGCAGCAGCTGACATTGTAACTTATTTAAAGGTATCACCATTCTGAGGGTCTCCTATATCTGTTTTGCATGTACATTCCAACCAGCACAATTTTACAGACACAGGCACACACAAATACACACAATAAAGTCACATACTAGCTTTGTAGAAACTGAATGGCATTGATAAGCTTTGCAGAAACGTGCAGTCTTTGTTTTAACAGTCCTGTACACATCATGGAGCAGTTACTGAAGTAAGAAAAAAACCTGCTAGACCAGTGGCTCCCAACCTTCTGGGACATGAGGGCTGCATTACAATGCCCAACGCCTAAAGAGGGCCACATCTTAAATCAAAATGTAACAAAATCATAACCTACCAATTTAGATCAAAATAAAGCATTCAGAGGTCAATGCAGAAATGTTGGAGTGCAATCCATTTTGGAACAATATTTTACTATGGAATCTTTTTAGCTAGCTATTCAAGCTTAACTAGTCAGTGTGAGTTTTGTGGCTGTTTCCTGTTAGCCAGGGCATTAATGTCCAAATAAAGGTTTGTGACAGACACTCTTAAAAAGTCATGCAAATGCTCATCTGTAAGTCTTGACCTACACTTGAATTTCACAATTTTCATCTTGGAAAAAGTTTGCTCACAGATGTATACAATGCTAAAGACTGAACATGCCTGCAGCAAATCTTGTTAGGTTGATAAATATATCAGGTAGACCACAACAGAAATCTAACAGCCTATTTTCTTTGTAAAAGTCTCTGAGATGATCAGTGGTTTGCAAATCAATTGGTTCCATCTGAAAAAAAAAGTTACTTGCATTTTCTGGTGCTACTCCAAATGGATTCTGAAACTTTCCATGTTTATGGCAATCAGTGAATCTGTTCTGGAATTCCACCTGCAATAGGTTCAGTGCTCTGATGTGTCTTTCAACACAGAATCGTAAATTCTGGTCCTTCTCAAATTTTAGATCATTTCAGTATGAGACGTTTGAAAAACTTTCACTACTTCACAAAAAGGTTTAGGTTTGCTTCAACAGCTTTCAGTTCAGAATACCTGTCACACACAAGCTTTCCTTTTCCCTGCAACTTTAGATTCAATGTGTTCAAATGTTCTGTGATAACAGTTTAAAAAGTCAAATCAAAAATCCATCCCAGGTCAGAAGGTACTTCTTGACCTTTTCCTTTCCCCTTGAGAATGACATCAATTTCATGATGAAGGCTAAAAAAACAGTGGAGGACTTTGCCTCTGCTAAACCGACTTCTGCATTGTACATCTCCATATTCTGTATCTATCTCTGAGAGAAAATTTTGAAACTGACAATGATGTAATTAATGCTGGATACAAGAATACACATCACACTTTCCCACTGAAGAAATTTACTACACAAGTAAGATGATGCATTGAAATTGCATGGGAAGTATACCATTTAATTTCAGTATCTCTTCATTGATTCTTCAACTACATCTGATTTACTTCCCACCATATTTCTTCCACCACTAGTTGTGATGCTTTTCAATTTATCCCAACTCAGACCAGGATTTTTTACTGATTCATACACCTTCAAGAATGTTTTCTGCAATTGTTGCACCTTTCAAATTCTTCTGTAATTCTGAAGTTGGAATCTATTCTCCTGAGAAATATTAGTAGTTGAGCAGTGTCTATGTCATTGCTCACATCTAATGTGAAAGGGAAAAAAAATCAAAACTTGTTGCCTTAATAATTAGTGACATGTGCCATCTGCTTTATCTTCCTTCCATACATAGCCTTCAACGTGGTAATGCATGGAGAGGGAGAGGGAAAAAGCTGAGTGATACGGGTACCTGAGCTCTGCTGACTAGCAAAGCACCCAGAATGGTCAAAATGCTATTATGGAGGATAAGACCAAGAGGGGGCTGACAGGAGGAACCATGGAGACCAGAAGAGACCGTGTTGCTGTTGTGGTTTGCGTGAGTAAGGGACAGGAAAGACAGCAGTGGATGGCGCTGTCTGAGGCAGGGAGAAGAGTGTGGGTCTGAGGGAAAATGCCTTGAGGGTGATACCAGTGGACAAGCCTGTTGGAGGGCCACAAAGAAAGTTTAGGGGTCCCAGGTTGGGGACCCCTATGCTGGACCATGTCTACCAACCTCCTGCTATTGTTACACACTTTTGTATTTAAGTGCAGAGCTTAATTAGAAACAGATGTTATCTGATGATTCCAATAATTGGACAGCAACATATTGCATCCAGGTGTGTGTGTGTTATAGAGCTAGATGCAAGCAGTTACCCACCAACTTGAGAGCAGTGAGAGCCCTTGCAACTGGCAGGTTCTGTACCACCATGTTTTCTTGCATTTTGATCACGGTTGTGCCTGTGGAACTGGAAATTTTTTCAGGATTTCCCATAGAAGACACGGAACCACATGGATTATAGCGCTAATATAACTCCTCCACTCTCCGGGGGGAGGAAATGTCTGCTGCTACTTACATCCATATGCTTTTTTGGGGAGCAGAGGAGTTCTTTGTAAACATGAGACATCAACAGTAAAGAATCAGGCAAAGAGAGGGAGCTTGAATCCAACTTAGCACTTGTTAGACTCCCATGTAAATTTACCAGTAAGACAGTACCACTTCTTTCCCTTTTGTAAAAAAAGGAATAGTTCAAAGCAGAGCAGGGAGAAGTGAGACACAGTAAATACAGGGAAGAAATATTAAACATGAGAACTTAGTAGGTTAATGGAGATTATGGTTCTTGCATTAATGTGGTACCTTTGGTAAGAATTAAACTAAAATTTGTAAAATAAGATTTTATGGGTCTCTAATCTCTGCAGTATCACTGCATTTCGTGGAATAATGCTTTGTCCACTGATTCTGAAGTCCCGAAATTAAAATTCCACAATGTAGAACCAGCAGGAACTGAATTCACAGCACAAATGTCTTGTCTTGCAGTATTTCATATTTGTTCCTATCAAATTGTTAATAATGTCCATCCATAGTCAAGCTTCACCAGGATAAAATAAACTGTAAGCTTAACAAATACACTACTCTCAGTTTACAAATAAATGCCATATTTGAAGAAGAAAAAACAACCACGGGCAGAAGAGATCTTACTACACAATGGATTCATTGGAGGATACATATCCAGTGTTCCTTTACCTATGGCTCACAAATGACTTGCTTGCCTCAAAATAAGGAATGACTCTTATATGCCAGGACAGTCAGCAGCGACAAATTTTCATTCCATTGCAAAAGTTCTGAAAATTTTACTCCTAAGAGCAGGCATAATAGTATATTTATATTGCCCAATTATTGTTCCTGGCTTCTTGTAGTTTCAACAGTTAAAGTTGACTGGATAATTCAAAGATGACATAATATTTAGCATCCATCACTTAATCATTTGAGTTTCTTCATCGGCATCATAGAATTCTTCATCCTCACTTCCACTTCCAGCTGAACTGTCTTGCTCAGACTAAAAGGAAAATGAAATTCTGATGACACAGATAACTTAATAACTTTTAGATACAATTTGGACAATGACTAAACTCAGCATTACAGGACTTTTCACCAAGCTATGGATGGAAAGTAGAAAACAAAGATGGCCTTTGAAAGGCCATTATATCCCAGCTACGGTCTTCCAACAATAATATGGGTATAATAATGAGACTTAAATCACAAGGCTGTAGTAAGCATTACTGTCACTATTAATGTGAGCTGCTTCTAAAAATCTGTAACAAGCTGCAAAAAATGTCATTGCTATTATGAGAAATGAAACAGTCTGGTCAAGCTACAGTAAGTTTACATTTGTGATTCCGATTATAATTGAGCCATATAGTTTGTGACATGTTCAGGGATACAGTGTCATGACTTTCACAGTGCTGGATTAGTTATTCTTTTCTGCTCCCTTAGTAATCTTTCTGTACACCTAAGCCTAGGAGGATAGGCACTCAACCCACACAGTGCCAATGGCTTTCCCCTTCCTACCAGCATTTCTACAGCTATGACAACCAGCAAGGTGACAACGAATCCTGCTGCCACTCACTTTCACTGACATGGCAATCTGGGCTCAACCTCCTTGTTCCTGGTTATGGGGACAGAGGAAGGAGAGAGTCAATCTGCTTCTGGAAGGGGACCTATTCAGAACCAGATTGGGGAGTTCTTCTGAGAAACAAAAGATACCATTTAGCCAGCCTGCTAAAGTAGTGTTTCTGCAGAATGGTGATGCCTTTTCTTGCAATAGATTCCATTTTCACCAGTCTAGTCCTAGTATTGAGAGTGTCTTGGTAATTTCCCACAACCAAAGATTCTTTTGGAAGATGGGGATAGGAGGTAAGTGAAAGGAGTATGGCTTCTCTGTTTCTAAAGAAAAAGGGAGCATGCCCCTGTATAAAGCTGAGTGCCACTGAGAAACTCTGCCTATCTGCTAAAGAAGAGGTAGTTGATTCAGGAGCTGCCTACTCTGAAATTTCATCAGTTAGGTTCTGCCTTCTGATTGATGGGTGGATGTCAAGTTTTCCTGCTGCTACCTGGGAAAACTGAGGTGTCAAACTTCACACAGGGGAAAAAATGAAGAGAAAATTAAATGATAATTTTTTCTAACCATCATTTCAATTAATTCTTCCTAAAGTACTTGCAAAGCCATGAAAAGATCTTTCATCTCTTCTCCTTGGAGCCTATCATCTGATGCTGACATCACACAAGCCCAGAGGAGACAAGGCTTCCTTATACAACCTGACAGCTATAATAACAAGAGGGAGGTGGGGTAAAATACACACATACCCGTGAACGTTCTAATGCTTGTAGTGTCATGGCTTCATCCCCCAACCTCCGATATGAACAAACCTGTAGGTCAGATATTGTCTCCAGCAGTGGACTGTTCAGAGTTTCTGGCAATAACAGAGTGAGAAGGCCAGACAGCAAACTTGCCACTCCAAACACAATATATGGTAGATACCATTGCAAAGATTTCTGTAAAAGTAAAGAACAGATTTAACAAACAAACAGTAATTTTCATATTGATTTCTCAACCTTGCCTACAGTGTTTTTGAACATGCAACTCTTTTCCAGATGTTCTACACTGGCAAAACATATTTTGGCTCAGTTGCAGACTCAGTTGCTGTGGGAATAGCAGCTTTAGGATTTTACCACTTTAGCAGCACTTGCAAGTATGCAATGGGCAAAATTGAAAAGGGCATACCTGAATCCAATAATTTTGGTACTTAATTTAATTAATTAATTCAAACATTTCTATGCCGCCCCCGTCGCAACAAAGCCTCGGAGAGGCTCACAACAAAAACAAAAACAAACAAAATCATATAAAAATTTATACACTAAAAATATTAAAACCCGGTGCATCTCAGCTTAAATTTTTTTTTAAAATCCTCCATAATAAATTAACACTTAAAATAAGTTTTAAATAAAAAGGTCTTAGCCTGGTGCCAAGAAACAAATAACGATGGCGCCAGGCAGACCTCTCTGGGGAGCGCATTCCATAGGTGGGGCGCCACCGCAGAGAAAGTCCTCCTCCGAGTACTCACCCTCCTAATATCATTCACAGAGGGTTCCCGGAGAAGGGCATCTGTTGCTGATCTCAAGGGGCGGGAGGGCATATATGGACACAAGTGTTCCTTTAGATACCCAGGTCCCAAGCCATTGAGGGCTTTATAGGTCATAACCAACACCTTGAATTGGGCCCGGACTTCAATCAGGAGCCAGTGGAGCTGACGGAGAACTGGGGTTATATGAGAACAACACCCAGTCCCCGTCAGCAACCTGGCAGCTCTATTCTGCACCAATTGAAGTATCCAGACCGACTTCAAGGGTAGCCCCACATAGAGCGCGTTGCAGAAATCTAATCTGGAAGTTACCAACGTGTGTGTCACTGTTGCCAGGCAATCGTTCTCCAGGAAGGGACGCAGCTGATGGATCAGCCGAAGCTGAAGGAAAGCGCTCCTCGCCACCGCCGTCACCTGGGCTTCTAAAGACAGCTCAGGGTCGAGGAGCATTCCTAAGCTGAGAACCCTGTCCCTCAGAGGGAGTGCAACCCCATTCAGGACAAGGCCCAAGTCCCCCATCCCGAGTCCCGAACCACCCACCAACAGGACCTCCGTCTTGTCTGGACTGAGCTTCAGTTTATTGGCCCTCCTCCAGCCCATTACCTCGGCCAGGCACCAGTTCAGCACAGCCACTGCCTCACCTGGATTGGTGGAAAACGAGAGGTAGAGCTGGGTATCATCAGCGTACTGATGATTCCGCAGCCCATACCTCCTGATGACCTCTCCCAGCGGTTTCATGTAGATGTTGAATAGCAAGGGGGACAAAATGGACCCCTGCGGAATTCCATGGCATAACTGCCATGGCTCAGAGCCATAGTCCCCCAGCACCACCTTCTGAAATCGGCCGTTGAGATAGGAGCGGAACCACCGCCACGCAGTGCCTCCAACTCCCAATCCTGCCAGCTTATTCAGAAGGATACCATGGTTGATGGTATCAAAAGCCGCTGAGAGGTCCAGGGGAACCAACAGGGACGCACTCCCTGTCTCTCTCCCTGCACAGGTCATCGTACAGGGCGACCAAGGCAGATTCAGTGCCATACCCGGGTCTGAAGCCGGACTGAAATGGGTCCAGATAATCAGTTTCATCCAAGAATGCTTGGAGTTGCCCGCCACCACCCGCTCTAGCACCTTGCCCAGGAACGGGATGTTGGCCACCGGTCTATAATTGATGGCCACCTCTGGATCCAGGCGTTGACCACCTCCAGGATCCAGAGGTGGCCATCAATTATAAGGACGGTACCCGACCGTCTCTTAAAGAGGCGTTGACCACCTCCAGGATCCAGGTGCCAATCCCATCCTTGGCTTTCTTAAGTAGCCAGGATGGGCATGGGTGTAGTAAGCAGGTGGCAGGACGTACTTGTCCAAGCACCTTGTCCACATCATCAGGCCGCAACAACTGAAATTCATCCATTAATTGCGGACTCGACGGTGTCGTTGGCATCTCCTCAGTAGAATCTGGTTCAATAGTAGAGTCAAGCTCGTGACAATCTGAGCGATTTTCTCCCTGAAATGCCTGGCAAAGTCGTCACAGCGGGTCTTTGAGGGTGGTATGAGATCTTTCTTTGGGCCTGGATGTATCAGCCCTTGCACCACTCGAAAGAGCTCTGCCGGACGGCATTGTGAGGAGGCAATAGAAGCGGAGAAGAATTTCTTCTTCGCCATTCTCACCGCCACAGCATAGGTCCGATAATGGGCTCTCAAGTGTGTTCGGTCAGATTCACCCAGTGATCTCCTCCACCTACGCTCTAGATGTCTCCCAACCTGCTTCATTGCCCGTAATTCAGGTGTATACCAAGGAGATGAACGGGCTCTGTCAGGTGGGAGAGGATGCTTGGGAGCAATCGTGTCAATAGCCCTGGTCATCTCCCCATTCCACAGTTCAACCAGGGCATCGACAGGAGCACCAGCCTTGACAACCGGAAAATCTCCCAGAGCTTTCAGGAATCCATCAGGATCCATCCAGCTCCGGGGGCGGACCAATACAATCGGGTCCGCACCGTTACAGAGGGAAAGGCCACTCTCGAGCTCAAACCTTATGAGGAAGTGATCTGACCATGACAAGGGCGTCAAGCTTAAATTCCTCACCCTCAGGTCACCCTCTTCCTGCCCAGTTGAGAAAACCAGGTCCAGAGTGTGTCCACGTTCATGGGTCAGGCCAATGACGTGTTGAGACAGCCCCATGGCCACCATGGAGGCCATGAAGTCCTGAGCCGCCCTGGTTAGAACCGTCTCAGCATGGAGATTGAAGTCCCCCAGGACCAACATCCTGGGAGTCCTCAACACCAGGTCCGAGACGATCTCCGTCAGCTCAGGCAGGGAGTCTGTTGGGCAGAAGGGTGCACCAACAGAATCCCCAATCTGTCTCGGTCACCCAACACCAAGTGGAGGCACTCCAGCCCCAGCCTCGAGAGGACAGGAAGCCCCACAAGGGAGACAGAAGCTCGATAAACCAGAGCGACCCCCCCTCCCCTCCCCTCCAGGCGTGGTCGGTGCTGGACCAGGTACCTGGGCAGGCACAGTTGTGAGAGGGCGACATCCCCCCCCCTCACCCGCCCAGGTCTCTGTGATACAAGCCAGGTCGGCCCTCTCATTCATGATCAAATCATGGATGAGTGTTGCCTTATTTTGGACCAACCTGGCATTAAGCAACAGCACCGACAGGCCCGGGGGGGCAGCTGACAAGTCTACCTGGAACCTGCCGGTTGGGGGAATAACCAGAAAGAGGGACAGGTGTTAACCATCTGTCCCTCCTTCTTCTATGCAGACCCATTAGACCCCCAACGCCATAACGTCTATTGCCCATCACCACCCCAATGGTGGCACCCCCACGCTCCCCAGGCAACATCATAGTAAAGCACGAGATGCACCAATTAAAAGCAACCTAAAACCGACAATTAACATTACTAAAAACATCCTACTTAAAACCACTGCTAGCCCACAAACCAACGAAACCAGGGTTCTTAAGATGGAAAAGCCAAAAGATTTTTTTTAAAAAACACCACAAATCTACTTCCTGCTGTGGTTGCATTATTCCAGCTCAAGGAAGGGCCACCAGTGGAAAATGGCTGCACACATCTCTTATAACACCAGCTTTCTTTCTGTTTCCTAGTGTCACTGCACACTCTTCCACTGCTTGAAGCAGGAGAGCACCCACCCTACCCTGCCACACTGTGCTCCTGCGCCTTCTATACCTAGCCCTGACTGCCACATGAGCCAGAGGAGAGGCAGATTTTTAAAGAACCACAGCTGTCAAAGGAAGCTACTGGCACTAGCTTAAAAGCCTGGTTCTGAGGGCATCCTTCCTGAAAGCAAGCTATGACATATGATTTCCTTCCCTGATGCCTGGCTCTGAGGAAGGACCTGGCCAAGCAACCTGACTGAAGAGCTAGTCTGGTCACTTCCTCTGCTAGCCTAGCTCTGCAGAGGGTCTGCTCACCTTTTAGCTAGAGCTAAGAGCTGCCACCCATTTTCTTTTTGGCTTCCAGAGAGCCTGACTGCCCTCTGACTTTTGCTATGAATTCTCATTATGATCCAAAAGGCAGATGACTAAGAGTTGCTGCTCATCCTCTCTTTTGTTTCTCTTTCAAAAAAGAGGGCAGACAGACACTTCAGAGTGGGAGAGTAGTACTAGAGGGGCTTTCCTGAGTACCCACTAGCATCATCAAGCTGACAGCTACTCCAGAGAGCCTGCAGAACTCTGCAGAAAATGTCAAGGTGGGAAAACATCCCCTGAAAGAAGGTGGGTCCTTGTGGCAGAGACGGGTGCAACCTCTGCAATACACCACCCCTCCTATTCTGACACTTGAGGTGGAGGTAGAGATATAAAATTTCTAGGTATTTTGAAGCTTGGGGGAAGGGGGTCCAAAGTAATAGAAAGTTGGGAGGAAAATTGCTTTAGGATAGCCTTCTTTGACCTGGTACCCTCCAGATATTTTGGAAAGTAGGTAGGGAAAAACTTATTTAGGAACATAAAGAATCAGTGTGGTGGTTTGACTGTTGGACTGGGAACCTGGGGTTCTAGGTCAACCTACCCCACAGAGTCGTTGCTCTGAGAATATAAGGAATACAATGAAATGGAGCACTATGCATACAACTTAGAGTCCTTGAAAGAATACAGGTGGGATAATAAAGGTGTAAGTTACCTAGGAAGGCCTCAGCAGTTATAGGCAGCCTATAAATACATGTACAGTGGTCCCTTGGCTCACAAACTTAACCCGTTCCAGGACTCTGGTCATGACCCAAATTGGTCGTGAGCCAAGTTAAATTTCCCCATAATGTTCAATGTAAATAAGGTTAATCCGTGCTGTAACTATTTTTTTTAAATCAGAAAAATGTGAAGCAAAGTGATAAAGAACAACAAAGATTGTGGCCATCTCCCCCCCCACCCCAACACCCAAGCAGGACTGCGGCCATCTCCTTGCCCCCCCCAGCACGACCACAATTGCGCCCATCATCCCTGGACACACCCGTCAACCTGGCGCACTGTGAGGGGAAAGACAGGCAGGAATGCGGGCGCACTTGGAGGGGGGAGAGACAGGTGGGAACACGGGCACGCTGGAGCAGGAAACGGGTGGGAATGCAGGCGCACTGCGGGGGGGGGAGATGGGCGTGCTTGGAGGGGAGACGGGCACGATCGTGCTGTGGGGGAGGAGAGATGGCCGAGATTGCGGTTGCGCTCATGCAGGAAACACGGGCGCAATCTCAGCCATCTCCTCCCTGCCCCCAGCATGATTGTGGCCATCTCCCCACTCGGGTGGGGCGGGGGGGAGACGGCCGCAATCACGGTCACCACCCAATGAGGAGTTTGCGACCTGAACCAAAATTTTTATGAAATTTTTGTTCATAACCCAATTTGGTTGTGAACTGAGGTGTTTGTGAGCTGAGGTACCACTGTATAGCTATATATATATATGCAATTAGTTATGTAATAATAAAGGAACATTTACGATTAGCTTGCTCATAAAATTATCACCACTCTTTTAAATGCCTTAAAAGTAAACTCAGTAAATTTCTAATTATCACAGAAGCACAGAATAGTAGTGTTGCAAGGGGCCTACAAGGCCATGACCCCAGTGTTGGACCCAAGGTTACAGAATCCCTGACAGATGGCTATCCAACTGCCTCTTGAATGCCTCCAGTGTGTGAGGGCCCACCAATTCCCTAGCTAATTGGTTCCATTGCTGGACTGTTATAACAGTCAGAAAGCATTTCTTGATGTCTAGCTGGAATCCGGCTTCCTGCAACTTGAGCCCATTATTCCATGTCCTGCATTCTGAGATAATTGAGAAGAGAACCTTTGCAACACTCTTTCAAGTATTTGATAAGTGATAACATCTCTCTCCCCTTCATGGATCACTGTCTTGCCATGGTGAAGGGGCTTGTGTAGTACAACGAAGCTATGAGCTATGCCATGCAGGGCCACCCAAGACGGACAGGTCATACCCGAGAGCTCTGACAAAAGGTGATCCACTGAAGAAGGAAATGGCAACCCCAGTATCCTTGCCATGAAAACCCCATGGACAGTATCAACAGGCAAAGAAATATGATTCTGGAAGATTATCCCCTCAGGTCAGAAGGTGTCCAATGTGCTACTGGGAAAGAGCAGAGGGCTAGTACTAGTAGCGCCAGAAAGAATGAAGCAACAGGGCCAAAGCCAAAGGGACACTCAGTTGCGAATGTATCTGGTGGAGAAAGGAAAGTCCAATGCTGTAAAGATCTATACTCCATAGGAACCTGGAATGTAAGATCTATGAATCAAGGCAAGCTGGATGTGATCAAACTTGAGATGACAAGACTGAACATTGACATCTTGGGAATGAGTGAACTAAAATGGACAGGAATGGGTAGCCATCATACTCAAGAAAAGAGTAGGAAAAGCAGTACTAGGATACAGTCTCCAAAATGACAGAATGATCTCAGTTCGAATCCAAGGCGAACCATTCCACATCACAGTAATCCACATCTATGTCCCAACCACTGATGCCAAAGATGCTGAAGTTGACCAGTTCTATGAAGGCCTACAACACCCTCTAGAAATAACACCAAAAAATGATGTCCATATCATCATGGGGGATTGGAATACTAAAGTAGGAAGCCAAAAGATAACCAGAATAACAGACAATTTTGGCCTTGGAGTACAAAATGAAGCAGGACAAAGACTGGCAGAATTTTGTCAAGAGAACATGCTGGTCATAGCAAACACTCTTTTCCAACAACCCAAGAGATGACTCTACGCATGGACATCACCAGATGGTCAACTCAGAAATCAAATTGATTATGTGCTCTGCAAGCCAAAGATGAAGAAGCTCTATCCAGTCAGTAAAAACAAGACCAGGAGTTGATTTTGGCTTAGATCATGAGCTTCTCGTTGCAAAATTCAGGCTTAAATTGAAGAAAGTAGGGAAAACCACTAGGCCACTCAGGTATGACCTAGATCATATTCTCGATGAATATAGAGTGGATTTAAGGAATTAGATCTCATAGACAGAGTGCTTGAAGAACTATGGACGGAGGTTTGCAACATTGTACAGGAGGTAGCAGCTGAAACAATCCCAAAGAAAAAGAAATGAAAGAAAGTAAAATGGCTGTCTGAGGAAGCTTTACAAATAGCTGAGGAAAAAAGGGAAGCGAAAGGCAAAGGAGAAAGGGAAAGATACACCCAATCGAATGTAGAGTTCCAAAGAATAGCTAGAAGAGATAAGAAGGACTTCTTAAATGAACACTGCAAAGAAATAGAGGGAAACAATAGAATGGGAAAGACTAGATATCTCTTCAGGAAAATTGAAGATATGAAGGGAACGTTTCATGCAAAGATGGGCATGATAAAGGACCAAAATGGCAGGGACCTAACAGAGGCAGAACAGATTAAGAGGCGGTGGCAAGATTACACAGCAGAACTATACAAGAAAGATCTTACTGTCCCTGATAGCCACAATGGGGTGGTCACTGACCTCAAGCCGGACATCCTGGAATGTGAAGTTAAATGGGCCTGAGGAAGTCTTTGCAACAACAAAGCTAATGGAGGACACAGTATAGGATGGTGGAGGACAGAGGAGCCTAGAGGAGTGTCGTCCATGGGGACATGATGGGTCAGGCACAATTTCGCGACTAAACAAACAAACAAACAAAATCGTATCTCCCCCCCCCCCCCAGTCTCCTCAAGGCTAAACATGCCCAGCTCTTTCATTCTCCCGTTTCCCCTGAATCATGTGTGTTGCCCTGCTCTGAACTTTTTCCTGTTCCTCTGCATCTTTCTTGAAGTGTGGTACCCAGAACTGGACACTCTGTTCAAGATAAGGACTAACTAGTCCTGAAATTATTGTCTGAAAAAACCCCAATGCTTTTGAATTTACCATACTACACATGCTAATTTTATGAGTAAACCACATTACACATAGCACACTTTAGGCTTTTATTTTATGTCTGAACACAGAGAATTTCAGCAAGTAGTCCATAAAATTTCTGAACTATCTCAGAATGCAAAACAAGCAAGAAGAGCTGAAAACACATGAAAACTTGTATATAGCACCTGCTTGTGTTTGTAATAAAGTTTAGGAAAATCCAGAGCTTAGGAAAATCTGAATAAAAATCTATTAGCTGGGAAAGATTCATTTTAGGAATGGTAAGCAAGCCCATTTAGTTTAAGAACATTTAAGCAATCTCAACCTGTTATTTGAAAAATTACATTTTATTTACTCTTGCAAGTAATTTCTGTTAATGAATACCTATTTTGTCCATTTTGGAAATCTCTCTTTCTTGGCGATGTCAATTGCATGTCCACCCCATATGAAAGAGGCTAATAAGTTTCTTTTAGGCAGAGAGGGTTTAGTCTAGTGGCACCAGTTATAAGTTTTTATAGTTAAGGCAGCATTTTCTAGTGGTGGTGCTAATTTAGAACTTTATTAAGAACTGTAGCCATGAGATCCATAGGGAAGGGAAGACCAGACCCAGACTCTATGACTTCCTGTAACAATGTTGGCCTAACCTATGGTGTTTTTAAGCAATCATATTAGCCTCAGGTGACCAGCCCTCTGAATGACCAATAGATCTTTGCGTTTAGAGTGTTCATGTGTGTTCATGCTCTCTCTCATTCTCATATATACCCCCAGGGCCCTCTCCTGGGCTGGGAAGCCTAGGAGTCTTCAAAGCTGCATCAGCTGACAAATGTACAGTATATGCACAATGCTTCCTCTACGATTGGTAAAATTGGTAAAATTGCAAATTGCAGAGCAAGCTCTCACACCTGACCATTTTAAAAACATTTGAGTTAAGAGATAGAGAATTAATTTCTCCACAATCAACAAACATTCTTTATGACTTTAAGGAAATTGTCAAAAAAAAAAAAAAAAACCACTAACAGCACTTTTTCTTTTACAAGGAAACATTCTGCCAATCCACTATACTTTATCTTGAAGTATTGCAGCTGGGGGTGAGGGTGGGGAGTAGAATAGAAAAATAAAGACAAACCAGAGATGGAACGAAAGGAGCAATGATCCCACCAACTCGGGAAAACATAGAACAGGCTCCCATTCCAACATTCCTGTGAGGAAATAAGACAAAGCAGTTGAATTTTGTGTGAAGGAATTTTCCTTAACCAATCTGGGCTTTGAGTTTCCAGGTTTTTGCATATTTAAACACAAAAAAATTTATACTTGTTATCTCCTATCATGAAAGGATAATTTTTAAAAACACATTAGTATTGAGAATGACCTGACCTAACTGGACAGAGAAACAAACAGTGGAACATATTTTCTAGGAATGCTTTTGTAATGAAAACAGAAACTACATTATCACTTGTTAATTATCCATTGGCTAGAAAGATAGTTGAATTTTCTATTTCTTATTTGCTGACAAGTAAAAATAAGATAGAAATAATACAAATCACTAAATATTTTGTTGCAGCTATTAGCACAAGATAATGATTTACATTTATGTCTTGATAAAAGTGTTGATCTGTGTTGCAGAATAGCAGAATCATAGAATAGTAGAGTTGGAAGGGGCCATGAAGGCCATCAAGTCCAACCGCCTGTTGTTGTAGGACATCATGTTACACCATCCCACTCAAATGGCTGTCCAGTTTTGCCTTGAATGTCTCTAGTATGGGAGAGCCCACCACCTCTCTAGGCAAGCTGGTTCCACTGCCATATTGCTCCGAAAGTGGGGAAGCTTTTCCTGACGTCCAGTATGAATCTGGGTTGTCGCAACTTGAACTGAATATTATGTGTCCTACACTCTGGTATTAGCAAGAAGAGATCTTGACCTTTCTCTTTGTGACAGCCTTTGAGGTACTTAAGGAGGATATCATGTCTCCTCTCAGCCTTCTCTTCTAGAGACTGACCATGCCCAGTTCTCTTAGCCTCTTCTCATGGGGCAGTGTTTCCAAACCCTGGATCATTCTTGTTGCCCTCCTCTGGACCTTTTCTCATTTTCCTGCATCTTTCTTAAACCTTGTTGCCCAGAACTGGGCACAGTATTCCAGGTGAGGTCTGACTAGTGAGGAGTACAGAGGAACTACTACTTCTCGTGAGTACTACCTTCCCCTCCTTTCCCCCAGAACACTACTGTTTTAGGCACCATCTCCACCTTTGCAGAAAAGGGGTGAAGGGAAAAACCATCAGCTCACCCAACTTCAAATATCCACAACCCATTGCCTCTATACCCCTATTATTTTAACCTGTCCTCTAGATATTTTCATTTTTAAAACTTATTTGAATTCTCAATACTATCTTTTCACATATTCAAAATTCCTCTAATATCATATTTAGCCTATTCAGAGTGAATATTCTACCCTATTATAACTTCTTTTATCTTACTTATGAACTCATGCTTATCTTTTAATCTTATATAATAAACCTTACCAAATAATTACCCCCAAACATAAAGTAGAATATAAGTTGTCTTCAGCCTCCTAATATTCTAAATTGGAGAGGGAGACCCTCCCATTGCCCCTTCTCTTTTTCATCCTGGAGATGTTTTTAAATTGCTGCAAGAGCTGTTCCTCCATTTTTGAGAGCCAGGATTGAAGAATCTCTAATAACTGCTCCATCATCCATCTCAATTTCCTTGAAGTGCTCTTCATCTCTCAGGCCCAAATCATGTGACAGTTTTAAACCTTGTTCCAGTGATTCAATTCTATATTTTCCATTATGCCAAAATCTCACATACATTGGATATCCCCAAACATATTTAATATTATTCTTCAACAAAATAATATTGAATGCTTGCAACGGACACCTGAATGAAATAGTCTGGAAGCACAGATCTTGAAACACCTGAATGGGTGCCTCTTTAAACTTTAGCTTACCTGTGTTTTCCCTCAACCTCCTCATCAGCTGTTCCTTATTACAATACTTAAAAAACCTGATCAATACATCTCTCGGAGTTATCTCTAGCTTGGCATTGGGAGCCCACACAATGTATTCTCTCTCTATAGTCTTCTTCCCATTTTTCATCTGGCATCAGTTCCTTAAACCATGCAAGGACATTGCTCCTGAGCTGATTTTCTTCTATTGATGATCATTCTGATATATTTCTCAATTGTAAATTCCTTCTATGTTCTCTATCCTCCAAATCAATCACCTTCTTCTCCAACTCTGTTATTCTTTCAGAATGAGAAATTTATTAGCTTTAGCCAATACCTTTGTTTCTTCAAATTTCTTCTCCAGAACCTTCAATTAATTCATCAGTTCTGTAAAAGCATTCTCATTTTCAATTTTTATCTGATTAATATCCTCAACTGCTGTCTCATCTGTTTCATTTCCTAGAAATTATCTTTTTTTCCCATTCCTTCATACTTGCATCCAAGATCTTCTTAAATCCTTGAAGGGTCTTATCTTCATCCATAATTTCTCAGGTTCCCTCTAGCTTTTCATCACTCTCTGTACGCATTAATCTAGAAGCCCTAGTTAGGCTCAGATCCGATGGTCTTCCTGTTTAATATATCCAACCAGAGTGAGTTTTTCATTGTGGTTGTCTTCGTGGCATCAACGATATAGAACCCAAAAGCCACTATTAAAAAATCAATTAAATTGCTTATTCTTTAAGCTTTATTGCATCAGATTAAAAATCCATTCATTATTATTCCAGCAGATGGAGCTCTGTATCCTTATCCAGTTAGTGAGTTTTATTCCACCAAGTTAGAACCATTATACATCCTTCATACAGCAGAGGGAGCTCTCAGTGGCTTTTTTGTTATGGTTTACTTCTCTCCAGACATAAAAGTTCTCAGCCAATACTCAGGAATGTAAACAATCTTCATTGTTTATAGCTTTTCAACTATCTGTGTGAATCTTTATATTTTACTTATTTCAAAATTCAATTTCACTGAGTACTTTAATCAACTGAAAATGAAGCTTTCACTTTCTCACAAATCACAAGTCAGTCCTGTTGGTATTGTTTACTATATCGTCTTGTACTGGAACTGTGCTGAATCCAATTAAGTTTAACTGCTGAAACTTTTTACAGTTGTAAACCAGTCTCTTTAATTAGCTTAAAGTTTCAAAACTCTTTTTCCCAATTGCTTTCCAGCATGATTTCCATCTTAGTCCAACACAATCACAATCACTCCCCCCACTGAGGCTTTTTCAATGAGAGTTTACACATTGAATTTATTTACAGTCCATAAAACAATACCTTCTTATTAAACTCCTCTTCGGCAGTGGTCTCCTTCTCCGTCAGATCACATCCAGGTTTTTCTTGCTATTTTAAATGAGGCATTGGGAGCTTTCTTTTCAACATCCTCTTGTGGCCATTGACCCGCCCATTCCCCCCAACCCCAATTCCTGGTTTTAAGTTATGTATATGTATGTTTAGTTTTTAATTCATTTCTTTAGGAGTAATTGTGTTCTATATTCTGTTTCATTTATCCTACATATCTTAATATATACTTGATTGTTTGGCTCTGGTAACAGTTATTAATGCATAATAATGTGGAAAGGTCTGTAAAATAAAAATACATGTTTGGCTGCTTCCTTTTAAATCCAGAAGGGGATCTGGGACCTGCTATAAATATTATCCAGTAGACTACTAATACCCAGCAATGAAGAATGTATTTATTTGCATAGAATTACCTAACTTTATCCTCACAAGTATTCTGCAAGGTAAGTTATGCCAAAAATGGCCCAGGTTCATTCAATGAGCTTCAACCCAGATCTCTCCAAATCCAACATTGCATAGGTTGCGTCTGAGGTAACAAGATGTTTGATTCTTTTGGTTGATGGGTAAAAAACTTCTTTATTACCATCTCAATAATACTGCTATTCTGCCTGGGTCTGAATTTAGAATAAAATAACTAGCCATCTGTCATTTCTGCATGGGCTCTAGAATAAACACAGGAAGCCAACATTCAGGTGGATTTAAAACACTGCACATTTCTTGTATGATCTAAATTATTTGGCTAAGAATGAAGTTCTATCTTTAAATTTATACTTTAGAAGGAGTAAAAGCCAAATTCCCATCTGTAAGCCAATGAAGGACAGCAAATCTATTGAGATTTACTGTACCCCACCCTGAAAATGAGATTTATTAAGTTAAAACAGGTTGCTATATCCAAGAAGAAGAAAGGGCAGGTGGTCATATTATATACAACAGAAGTCTGTAGGAAAAAATGCATTTGCCTTACCTTATTACTGTAGGATAAAGTTCTGATGTGTAGATATAAACAATGTTAAATGCTGAACTAATAGTCAGTTTTCCCAGTAAAGACAATGAACGACTGTTCACAATTGCAAATACACCTGTAGCTATTGAAAAAAAATGCAATCTTTATAAAGAGGCTACAGCAAACAAGAGCAACTTCTGTCTTTATTATGGGCTCACACAAGAAGGTTTGATTTCGTCTGCAAATGTAAATCCATCAGCATTTTATAGGTTTGCTTCAATGGTGCTGGGAATTTCTCAGCAAGAGGATCAATTTCCTGGTTGTTTTTTCCCTGAGGTTTGCTTATTCTACAGAATTCCATGTAAGTAAATTAACATTTATTCATGAATGTTATAAACTTGCAGTAGACTTCTAACAGCAAAAAGGAGCTACTGGTTATACTTGCCAATGATTGGCCTAGATCCCACAGAGGTGGTGAATCTGTGATGGGTGGAGGCTTATATAACTGAATGCTTCTACACATAAACACAAACTCCTCAGAATGGGCATAATGAGGAAAAACGGTTCAAGCACAACCAGTCCCCAAGTATGCCTGTTTTCTACATGTAGAAACTTTAAAAAAAATTATAAGGAGCACTTTGTGTGAGCTTGAATAAGTGATACGCTAACCCCAACTTTTAATATAAGGAATGATGCTAGGTATATTCCACAAAAAGAAAGAAAAGGGGTCAAAAGAGAAACTGACAATTTTCAGTTTATCTGCAACCTGGATTTTCATATAAAGGAAATTAAGGAAAATCAAGTCCCAATTAATCCATGTATATTAAATATAATTAACTGTTCACAGAAAGGCAGATTTCTTATCTGTAACTATCATTCTTCAAGTGGTCATCTGTGCATTCACACATATGGGCTCTGTGCCCATGTGTGGAGCTGTTTTGGGAAGATTCCAAAGCTGATTAATTAGGGGAGGGGCTTTCAATGAGACCTCAGTTCTGAGAATAAGACTGCCATCCAGTAAAGGCAGGTTGCTTACCTGTAACTGTTGTTCTTTGAGTGGTCATCTATGCATTCACATATATATGGGTGCTGCACCTGCGCAGTGCCTGTATTTGGGAAGATTTCATAGCTATAACGGTTTTTGGTGAGAATTCTGCACCTCCCCCCGCCCGGTATAATTTGGTGGAGTCCCCGGCCTCTTGCCAATCAGCTGAAAACCACCCGTTCGCCCCCGGCTGGTACCAACAAGGAAATGTGAGTGCAGTAAAATGGCAAAAATATTGACCCATTGAAAAATTGACCCAATCACCAACACCAAAGTGGGGCCGGCAGTTGGGTTGTGTGAATGCACAGATGATCACTCAAAGAACGACCGTTACAGATAAGCAACCTGCCTTTCTTCGTTGTGGTCTTTGTGCATCACACATAAATGGGTGACTAGCAAGCTTACCCACCAGGAGGCGGGATGGTGTCATTACTGGAGAACAGCAGATAAGACGACATGGCCAGAGGAGCAGTCCTGTCTGGCTCTTAACGTCTAAACGATAGTGCTTTACAAAAGTGCATGGGGCTGACCATGTAGCAGCTTTACATATGTCCTGTACTGGGATGCCTGCACATAGGGCAGATGAGATAGCCACGGCTCTAATAGAGTGTCCTTTTGGAGCAATAGGCAAGTCCAGTTTGACTAACTGGTATAAAAGTTGGATGGTTTCCACGATCCATTTCGATAGGCATTGAGTCCCTGTTGGTGTCCCTTTATCATGTTCATAATATTTGATGAATAGACGTTTGGTTTTTCTGAATGACTCAGTTTGGGACCAATAGAACACCAGGGATCTGCGCATGTCGAGGCAATGTAAGGAACGCTCGATCGGTGTCTATGGCACTGGAAAATATGCCAGCAGGACAAGGTGGAATGCTGTTGCTACTTTTGGGAGGAATGACAGATCTGTGCATAGAACCACCTTCTCTTTATGAAAATTGAGGTATGGGGGGTGGTCAACCCGAAGGGCACATAGCTCACTAGCTCTTCTTGTCAATGTTATGGATTCTAGGAAGGCAGTCTTCCATGAGAGTAGTCAGAGATTGATAGAGGCCATGAACCCTCTATATGTCCTCTATGGTATGAAATGGCTGCAACATTATCTTGATGTAAGAAGTTTTGAGGCCTCCATGGCGTAATGGGAGTAAGAACTGCAAAATGTTCTTGATGGTTGCAGATTCAGGAGAAAAGTTGTTAAGGGTTGCAAAGCATTTTATTTATTTATTTATTTATTTATTTATTTATTTATTTATTTATTTATTTATTAAAACATTTCTATGCCGCCCCTTGCCAAGGCCTCGGGGCGGCTTACAACATCGAATACAAAATACATTAAAACAATGACAATTAAAATATATACAGTAAAATGTATACATGTAAAAATATATACATGTAAAATGCTTCCTATTCGCACCATATGTACGCTGTGTGTCTGGTCTCAACGCGGACTGCAAGATGAATTGAATGTGCAGGTATAAGTTTGTCGATCCTGGGATTATTGTCAGTACCCACGTTGTTGTTGATGCCAAGATTGGTGTCGTCGATCCAAAGACTGAAGTCGGTACCAAAGCTGCTGTCAATGCAGAAACTGGTGTTGATTCCAAAGCTTGTACATGTGGAGACCGCTATCAGTTCCGAAGTCATTGAATAAGTCATGCTGTTAATTTCAGGGAATGTAGGTTTGGATGCCAAACTGAACCTTGTTGTTGGGTAATGAAATGTGGAACTTGCGAAAGACGAGTGTAGGTGTTTCTGGATAGCTGAAGTAGAGTGGAGAACCACAATTGGCGGGGCCACCATGGAGTGATCGAGATGCTGCAAGCATCCCAGCTGATCTTTGCCAGTGTCCTTGTGATTAGTGGAATCTGAGGGTATACGTAGAATGGTGTGTCCCTCCAAGAAACCATAAGCGTGTCCCCGATGGAGTTCAGACCACGATGGGCACTCAGGAGCTATTGCACACCGTGTTCTTGTGTGTGGCAATGGAGGGTGTTCCCCACTGGTCGAAGTGATGAGGTTGTGCATGGAGTGTGTAAGTCTTCGTATCCAGTCTGATGGAAAGTAGGCTCTGGTATGGACTGAGTCCAAATGTGCTCCGATGTAGTTGATGACCTGAGAAGGAACAAGGGATGACTTCTCGTTATTGATGCACAATCCTAACTGATGGAGCAAAGAGCAAGTAGTTATGATTGAGGCTACGAGGTCCAGTTTGGAGGATGAAACTAGCAGCCAATCATCCAGATAGGGGTAGATTTGTACACCCTGAAGTCTAAGGTGGGTGCAAACTGGGGCCATACCTTTTGTAAACACCCTTGGTGCCATAGCAAGACTGAAGGGAAGAATATTGTTTTTACAGATGTCAGTACCGACTGTGAACCTTAGGATATCTGGCCATAAGGGCTTGGCAGTTTGCCATTTTGATGGAAAAAGCTGCAAAAGAATAGAAGTGGCAACCGATAGCATTAAGGCATCTGCCCTCCTTATCTGCTGGAGCAGAGTGTTTTCTTTGGATGGGCCTTGAGAAGACTCTACAATAGTAGAACTGGGTTAAGGATGTTGGAAAAGAAACTCCGCATATCTTTCTTGGACTCTGTACACATTCTCAAGTCATGGTGGTGGGAGCACTATTGATGCTGGTGATTTCCACTCATGATGCACTGCATCGAGAAGGGTTGGTAAGAGTGGTATGGTCCTGAGCTCTCAGCAAAGACCATCTCAAAAACTGGGTCTTTTAATCTACTTGGTTCTTGTTGGGGATTAAGTCCAAGGCTGTGTGCCATATGGAGGACTTGGCTGGAAAATAGTCCAATGACCTCAGAAGCATGTGGAGGATTGGGTGTGGATGCAGATGTGTCAACAGGTAAATCAGAACCTTGGTCCAGAGATGACAGGCGCAAGGTGGAGATGTAAGGTCCAGGGTGAATGGAATCAAGTAAGTCAGCATGGTGATGGTCCTGTGAAATGGCATGTGGTGGCCTGGCATGGTATGGAGGGGAGCATTGCGTTGCCATTTCTCTCATGTTCTGTGAAGGTCCACAGAGTGGTACTAGGAGGAATGGGAGTGGTATTAGAAGAGTACTGATTGGATCTGACTGGGCTTCAGTGAGATTTTCCCTGTCTGAAGTTGACTGGGCCCCAGCATTCTCTATAGTAATCCGTGTCGAATTCTCGGCGGTATGGAATAGGTTGCCACTTAGGTCTGTGCTCCTTATCAGTGATCAGGGACTGAGAACAGTAGTGGCATCTATCTGGTTCAACACAGAGGACGACACTTGGAATCGAGGATGCTGGGCAGTTGTGCCTTGGTGCAGAGACAGGGTCTGTCTGCAGGAATACTGTGGGTGATGGGGTCACAGATTTTTCCCTCGGAAGATGAGGCACTAAGTGCAGGAGGTGGAGGTTGAGTCTGAGGTTCCTGTGCTGGTTGATAGTTGATGCTACTCCTGCTCAGGCACCATGTCTTCAGTACATGGGAGGCCAGTAGGAGGTATATCAGAGCACTTTTTAGTGTGTGTGCCAGCTTCTTGTTCTTTTGAAAGATTAGGCGTTTTTGGAGCCTTATTCCTTTTATCCATTTTCTTAGGCTTCCCCAGTGTCAATCTTTTCTTGAGGGGAGCATCTGGATGTTTGTCTGGGTTAGCAGACATAGGTGTGTGCCTGAAGTGGACAGCTGGGCATTGTCTGCATGTAGGGTGTGGCTCCAAAGTTGTCTTTAGATCTACCCGGTATTTTCTCGCCTGTTTGGTAAATGTCTGGCAGGGATAGCAGGTATCAACAACGCGAGTTTCTCCCAGGCCAAAGGTCAGCAACCCGCGGCTCCGGAGCCGCATGTGGCTCCTGAATTCCTCTGCTGTGGCTCTGTGGCTCCGTCGCTCACAGCCCCCAACCTGCGACCCGCACCGGCACAGCACAGCTGCCGATCTGTTTCATAAATGCAACACACTATAGTTTTTTATACATAGCATAAAGGTAAAAATGATATATGCAGTGTTATTTTCATTTTAGAGGTCAAAAGAGTTTTGCGGCTCCCAGTGTTTTCTTTTCTGTGGGAAACAGGTCCAAATGGCTCTTTGAGTGTTAAAGGTTGCCGACCCCTGTCCCAGGCAAAAAGGCACAAAGAGTGCCCATCAGTAGGTGGTAGCTTGTAACCATAAGCCAAGCAGTTGCAGAATAGAGCTTTAAGTGCCATTTTGTTGAGTGGAGGAAGGCTGAAGGATCTAGTAAAGAGTGGGGTGGGGGGGAGGCAAGAAAAAAATGAGGATAAAGGCAAGAAGGTGAGGAGAAAAAACACTGTAGAGGAAAACCTATAGACAACAGAAAGTTTGAAGAGTTGAAGAAATGACATTTGTGAAGTATGTAGTAGAGGAGGAACTTTCCAGTGTGCTCACGACAGCAGTCGAAGTAGTGAGGTCTTGCTGGCAGCCCCTCCCTTCATGTTGGGTTTGCCTAGGGCCTGGACTCCTGCCAAATAATAATCAGTTTTGGAATCTTCCCAAAACAACTCCATGCATGCACACAGAGCCCATTTATATATATTTCACAGAAACCACGAAGAATAATAGCAATTCAAAGAGAAAAACTGGTGCAATACTTCTACTGAAACAGAGGTTTAAAAGTGCAGTTCCTTGCCTAAAAGATGAAACCATCTGCTATGAATTCAAAGGAGTTAACTATGGAATACATACACAGATAGGGCTTGGGTATAAGTTCCATTTCTGGCAGCATCCCAGATTCATAAGATAGATTTTTAGAGGTATTTCCTACCTTTCTGGTTAATTGCTAGAGACAATCCTTATGCAATTGCTTCTTTTATATATTTTTGATAAAGCCTGTGCTAGAAAATGAAAAGTTATTGCATACTTACAGATTTAAAAGAAAAAGAAATTTACCTTTCTTTTCTGGAAGAAACATAACAATAAGGGAGGCCAGTCCTCCCAGGGACAAAAATGCTGCAAGGGTCCGTTTGCGGCCAAACCTAACAAACAGAAAGAAAGAGAATAATGAAAATACATGAGAAGAAAACTAAAAAGTGTTCTTTACACCCAGGGCTTCAGTACAGCAAGCCTATTGCTCTTTATTCCATGTTCCTCCTGCTTTTTGAACAGATCAGAGATCAAAACTGTCAGAATGCCATAAACCTTTCTGACATGCAACCCTTTACCAATTTAGAATTCTAGGTCAACATAGTCTGAAAGTGGATGTATTGAAATTTGGCAACAACATGCTGAGGTTAGATCTAATTTAAAGCCTCTCTGTGTTGTTATCATTTATGACCCAGCTTGGAAAGAGCCAAAATTAATGGACGTTGAAATTCTACTGCTGACCTAAAAGTTAACATAATTCTGTAACAAACCTTCAAAAGCAGACTTCAGGTCTTAACAAAAGTTGAATCTCTCCCTTACTATCTCTTATTAAATTAGTAAAGCAAAGCTTGAAAGACTATGTGACCACAAATTACTGCATCATGGTTATAAATGACTAGATCTCTTATATTTCACTGCCTTTGAGACTTCATTGTAACTCTTTATTTATACCTGGCTATACCTGTGTGATGTCATGTAAGGCACATTGTGTTTCAACACACCATGGTGTCACATCATACAATATATAACAGAAGTGACCAGACTTGCTCAACAGAAGAGCCACATATGTTAAATGTCAGATTTTTGAGAGCTGCAAGCAGATGCCTGTGGAGGCAGCAAGCCGCAAAATAAGCTCAGCGAACCACATGTGCCTTGCAAGCCTCAGTTTAGCCCCCTGATATATAATATTGCAATACACTATGAGGGGTATCATATGACGTTATATCGTGTTATACACTTCATATCACCAAACACACTATTTTATGTGCAATGTCATACGATGCAACTCATCACAATCAGATTCAATATTATGATATATCATATCATATGATATGTATTATTTGTTTTTTTAATTCCATTTCTATGCTGCCCTATAACCTGAAGGTTCCCGGGGGTGGCTTACAATACAACAACATAAAAACATACCTACTTTACAATAAAACAATTATTAATCGAATCAAAGATAAAAAAATAATGTATACTCACACAAACTAGTAAACACAACCAACAATTTAACCAAAATTAAAATAAGATTTTAAAAATCAATAAAAATATGAGCATTAAATAAATTTAAATTAAATCAACCAGAAACTTGTTTAGGTAAAAAAGATTTCACCTGGCACCTAAAACAAAGAAGAGTAGTGTATAAAATATGAACATACTATTAGCTTTTAAATTTCCATAAGACACTGTGTTGTATCTGCTACAATAAAAACAGACTGAGTCAGAAGGGGCTTCCTGGGCCATTTAGTCTGACCCCCACCTCTTGCTGGCACCACCCATGAATTGCCTACCCTGTGCATGTCCAACATATCCTTAAACACCCTCACCAAAGGGGCTTCAATCACCTCCCAAGGAAGCCCATTCCATACCCTAGGGGTCCTAACCATCAGGAACTACTTCCTCACATTCACCTTGAATCTTGGTTCCCTGAGCTTTGCTCCACTGGAATGTGTCCTGCCCTCCACCGCAGGGGAAAAAAGGTCACAACCCACCTATGCATGGCACCCCCTCTCGTACCTGTATGTCACTAACAGGTCCCCTCTGAGTTTCCTCTTCTCAAGGCTGAAAAGACCCAGCTCCCTCAGTCTCTCTTCATATGGCTTACCCTGCAAACCAGCCACCATTCTTGTGGCCCTTCACTGCACCAATTCCAACCTTGCTATATCCCTCTTGCAATGAGGGGCCTAGAAATGAACACAATACTCCAGCTACATATGCACCAGAGTCATATAGAGTGGCAGTAATAGCTCTCTTGATCTAGAAGCCATGCTTCTAGCTATGCATCCAAGGGTGGCATTTGCCCTCTTGACTACCACGTCACACTGCTGACTCATGTTTAGCCTGCAGTCAACCAGCACCCCAAGATCCTTTTCACAGGTGCTGCTCTTCAGCCACTTGTCCCCTCAACTGTACTTATGACACCCATCCCTATGCCACAAGTGCATTGAACCCCATCCTGTTGTCCCCAGCCCACTTCCATAGTCTGTCCAGATCCTTTTGGATCCAGAATACCTACTCTTCAGTTGTAGCCACTGCCCCCATTTTAGTATCATCAGTGAATCTGATCAGCAGACTGGTCACCCCCTCCTCCAGGTCACTGATGAAAAGATTGAACAGGATTGATCCCAGGACAGAGCCCTGGAGGACCCCACTCTTCATTGACCACCATCCCAATGATTCCCCACGAATAGTTACCCTCTGCTTTGAGTTCGTCTACCATGCCCTAACCCATTTGACAGAGAACTGGTCCTTCCCAAAACTCCTCAATTTCTCAACCAAGATATACAGCACTTTATCAAAGGCCTTGATGAAATCCAAGTAAACCACATCCACCATGTCCCCTCCATCTAGCCAACTCGAAAGCTTGTCATAGAATTCCACAAGGTTCATCTGACTGGACCTGTTTTTGTGGAAGCTGTGTTGTATGGCTGCCAACCTCCCTTCCCTATCTATTAGTCCAGAAAGAGCAACAGACTAATATGATTACATCTCTAGAATTCAATGAAGAAAAAGTTGTTCATTTCATAAATTGTATTCCCATGCATATTTCTTTCATCTGTGTGCCCACAATGAACATGTTAATCCCCTAATTGCAGAAGTATTTTATTCATCATTTCATGAAGATCAAAATCATTACAGTGTAAATATAAACGTGTAATGCATAACATTGCCTTCTCCAATAGAGTTGTAGTCAGTAGCATCTACAGTATCTATAACAGTGAAAACAATAATCCTATAGTAAAAGTTACAAAGGTATGAATCAAGACTTCCTAATATGCAATACTCACCATTTTTGGCTGATCAAGTAGATACAGAGAGGGTATGCTGGAATCTCTATTAGTCCAGAAAGAGCAAGGTTAGCATAGATGCTGCCACCTAGGTCACCCACATTGAGAGTAAGACCATAATAAACCAAGCTGCATACAAACCTTTAGAGGCAAAAAGAAGAGATGCAAAACGTGAAGTTGGTTTCTTGCCTATATAGTAACAATAACTTGAAAGCAGACAATGTTTTATTTACCCCAAGGGATGGAACTTAATGACCACATTGTCTTCACTGCTACATCAACATAATCAATGCATGATTTGAAAGTGAATCGGATATTTAAATTCTGGCACAGCATTTCACCCATTCCCTTGAACTATTTCCAAACAATGATCCTTTTTGGGTATGAGATACACACTGATTCAGCATACCAGTAACATAGGGATCTCTGCTAGTATAACTGCAAATTGGAGACTGGAGCAGATCACAGGAAAGTGTGCATAATAGCTACAATTAACCTTTGCTGTATGAAACCTAGTGTTAGTTACAAAAGGGATTATATTTGAAGTGCTTCAGAGAAGGCAAATGTTGCATATAAGAAGGTCTTTGTTTAGCTGAATTTTTCCCCCAGGTTTGAATTAGCATAAGAATGGATTCCAGATTTCTGCTAGTACAGGTAATTTGAGACTTAAATGTATAAACTGCTCTGCATAACAAGAAAATCTGCATATCAATAATTGGTCTATTGGCCTTTGAGCTGCATAACATATTCTGATTCAGAAGAGAGCAATGTGCTTACTAATGAGGACTAGCCCATGAGATCATATTATACCAGTCCTCTGTTGATTGCATTGGCTGCCAGTTGAAGTCCAGGCCCAATTCAAAGTGCTTGTTTTAATGTTTAAAGCCCTAAAGGGGTTAGAACCAGGATATTTGAAGGAGCGCCTGGTCCTATATGTCTCTAGCTGGTCATTAAGATCTGCTACAAAGGCTCTTTTTCTTCTTACATTGTCTGGCATTTATATCATATCTTTCTTCCTTTTGCAAGGAACCCAAGACAGCTTATACTCTTATCCATTTCATCCTCACAACAACAAACCTGTGAGGTAGGTTAGACTGAGAGGCAGTAACTGGCCCAAAGTCACCCAATGGGCATTATGCCTAAGTAGGGACTAAAACCTCAATCTCCTAAGTCCCAGTCCAGCATTCCTACCCACTGGCTCTCAGGAAAGAAAAAGAAAGCTGTTTTAAAAAAAACCCACAGGAGGCCTAAATTTGGGGATGTTTTTAAGGCAGATTTTGACATTGTTCTACAAGGACTAGACTGCAGGTCTAACTGTGTATAAATTACACAACAGAATGTGAATTGGGGGAGCCCAGTTACTCCAACATGCAGGATGTTAATGGCACTTTACTCCTTTGACACTTTCCCCTTACCTTCCTTGGGGAGAAGCAGCTATTTATCACTGGGTGGTTGCACCAGTTGGTGCACTATCAAGGGAAATCTCTTGCTTTTCCAAGCAAAAGTTAACAAGGGTTCTAGTGGCTTCATGGACCACACACAAAGCAGCTGAGGGCCACATACTCCATAAGGATTCTGCACTCCTGTTTTAAACCATCCTTGATCCAAATCATTGCAGAAGTTATAATAACCCAAACTATCTCAACTAGCAGGATGAACAATTGATTTGGTGAGTTTGTGGGGTTATTGGCTACACAGAGAAAACAAAATCTCCACAAAGTGAAACAAAAACAGAACAATTAATTGCTTGTCTAGTATTTTAAGATTAGATCAAGAATGGCTCTGAAAGTTAATGTAAGAAAAAAACATTACCCTTCCCTTTTTCTGTTATTGTGAGCATGAGACAGTGTGAAAGAAGCAAATAAAACCTAAGGGTCCTACAAATGGTACAACTGCTGCGGGAAATGTAGGGCTTTTACATCATATTTATATCCTGCAAGGAACCAAAGGCAGCTTACACAGTCTTCCTCCTGTCCATCTGATCCTCACAACTCTGGTGCACCAAGTTAGGCTGAGAGTGAGTTACTGGCCCAAAGTCACCAAGTAAGTTTCATGGCTGAGTTAGGACTAGAACCCAGAACTCTTAAGTCTCAGTCTAACATTTTAACCACTATACTATACTGGCTTCTATTGCCATTATTTCTCTGTCAGTTGTAATGTGTGCCAATGTTCTCAGGTTTCTTATTTTTCACAAAAGTCTAATTTCCATTATTTAGTGTGGTATAACAAAAGCACTTACCAAATAAAGTAGAGTACTATCATATTTTAGAAATGCAAATTAAAAGGATGAAAATTACTAAACTTTTTTAATTAAGTGGATTCAAGCTAAGAATAAACAGCAGAAGCTAAATAATCAAACCCAGGCCTATTCTATAAGGGTTGCCAATAAATGAAAAGCAAACAAAAATCCTGAACATACGCCATGCCTAACAAACTACAAGAGCAGCACTTCTGAAATCAGATTAAAAAGTGCAAGTACCAGATGAACATCATTATAAGAGTACGTCCCAAAAGAATCTTGTATCGGAACAGATGCAGGATGCTTCCAGCCTCCTTGTAACTCCTTTCAGGTGGGAGCTTAAGTGAAAAAGTGCACTTTGGCTTGTGGTTCCTCTTTGCAATGAGGTAGAGCGAATCTTCAGCTTCACTCAGCCGTCCTTGTGAATACAACCACCGTGGTGATTCAGGAATGAAGCTAAAAGAAAAGGATAACACATTAGGGCCTTTTTGCCATTCAACAGTAGCTCTGTCAGTAAAAATAATATGTTGCAAACCTGTTTATATTGCAGATACACTTTAATCTTTGCTGCTACATGCAAGATAAAACAAAAAACACAAGATCTCTGAACTATACGTGACCATTTTATACAAAATATTAGAAAAAATCTGAGTGGATAAATAACAAAAACAAAACATGAAAGCAAGAACAGAGAAGCAATGGACATTCACACACTTTACTGACATATACTAAAAGTGCACATATACTCTAGTCAGCATAGCATATGCTAAGCTATTTGGTATAGTTGTATTTCTCTATTTAAAATATTCAAAAAAATTAAAATTCTGCATCAGGTGGTCAGTTAGCAGTCATCCTTTTTGTAAATTTAAAATGAAATTATGGCCTTTGTCATTCAAATACAAGTCTGGACTCTACAGTGGTATTTGATTTGGACCCTGACTTTCTACCCCAAAATGACAGAGCTTATAGGAAAAATGTGATTCAATTAAAACAATAAAATACATTAAATTATAAAAGATGATTACCAAAAAAAAAAAAAATTAAAAATCGCACCCAAACCAAGAGAGCAACCAATAGGCCAATGCCTTCATAAATGTCTTTGCCTCCCAGCAGAAGTCAGCAAACTGGAAGCAAGCCTAGCTTCCCTTGTGTCATGCCTCTATTTCAGCATTCTTCATCTGAGGAAAAGCTCGACTTACCTAGCTGCAGTGATGCCTCAACTCCTGAGAATGAGACAGAAACAGAAACTAGGACGGAGATACCTGAACAGTAGGGAAGAGGTAGGAATCTCAAGGGTGAAAGAGGGGACTCTCTCCTTCCCCAGGGAACCTCAAAACCTGAGCCAGAGGGGAAGACTTCCCAGCCCTTGAGAACACCACTCCTTGGAAAGGAGAACATAGATCTTTCCTCTCAGGCAGCATGCTAGACTGCTGCTGGGAGTGTGGGCATATCCAGCCAACTCATGGATAAAAGGCCACTACCGTATTGCTCAGGCTACACAGGAAAAAAGACAAGGCAGTTACTGAGGTTCAACAGGTAGTGCAGTGAACTTACCCAGTGTCCCAAAGCCAAACTGGTTTCAATTAGGCCTGGAAGCTGCCTTCCCCAATTATTCTGCAGATAAGACATTCCTTTGCCATGAGAACAAAGCTGCTTGCCTTACCAAAACATTTCATTTCCAGAAATGGGGAGGGAGCCTGGGTATATCTGGAGAGGCTTTGCAGTGGCAGGGAAGAGGAATCATATAAAAGAGATGTTTTATTTTCAGCCTATGTGGAGGAACTGACACCTTGCTCACCCAGGCACCCTAGAAGGCCCACAAACACCCCCAGTCTAGTAAGGAAACCAATAGATCACAAGGGGTAAATTTTTTCTTTGGCTTATTTAGTAATGTTCTGCATCCATATTACATTGTTGTATTCAATAAACTGTATATCATCTTTAACACAGGTGATTTTGTATCTTCCTAAGTATTCTCAAACCTACGTAGGGCGCCTTGGCTGGACCAAACCCCATGATTAATCCTGTGTCTGCAAAGTGTTGGGGGGGGGGTCAAAGGTTACAAGGGTCCTCAGGTGCCTGACAACAACTGTATGGATTCTTTCTAAATTTTCTCAAGAATACTGAGCCAGGTTGCTCCCTTGGTGTGTCAGGAAGCAGACCTGCAGAAGGAATAAATTCTTGCTGGTCTAGGGTAGTGAATATTCACAAAGGAAAGGGTGAGATGGATTTTCTTGACTGCCTCATGAAATCTATGGGATATTAACCATAAGCAGGAAAGTGTTAACTAGACCCTCTCTGCTGATCTATGGGCAGTTAAAGAGTACAATCCCTGCTACAGGAGGTGTTGTCAAGTGCCCAAAAGAGGAGCATGCTGATAGAGAAAAAAAGAAGAGCACCTAGTCATTAGGGTGACTAAAATGAAGAGAAACAAGTCCCTTAGCAGGGCTTAGCCATGATATGAGATCTGGATAATGATTACCCAGACTGTCTGGGACCCAGACAGGTCCCAAACCTGGGATGGTAACACCTGGGCACCTATTTCAGAGTAGAAATTGACTGAGGGGGTGGAAGATCACCTGCAACTCCTCCATTGATTCAGAAAAAGACAAAGTAGAAAACCCTCAAGCTACCAGCACAGTGGGGGATTTTTCTCAAGTTCAACTGCAGGGACTGACCAAAGAATGTCAGCAGCTGCCACTGCCTTGATCATGTTTGTAAGATCAGGGAGCAAAAGGTATGTTCATGAGCCCTGAAGAAATGAATAAGATGGGGATTCTGTCAGATTTTAATCAGATTTTGTAAGATGCTCAGCCTGCTATGATGATTTTGATGGAGTGGGTTTTGGTTGCAGTGCAAATTCAGTATGCTGATGGAAACAACCTAGCTATTAGTGGCCAGAGAGCTGAGGCAGCACATGGCAACTCAGGCTGCAGCTCACCTTGGTATCTATCAGGGGCCAAACCAAGAGGCTTTTACTGCCAGCATGAGACCCAGTCTCATGTTTAATGGATCCCCACACTTGAGAGGAGCTTTATTTTGTTGTGTCCCTTGGGCAGCTGGATGCCATTAAAGAACAGCAGGCACAAACAAAGGCTAACAGGCAAGGCAAAGGGAAGCCTGGAAAGAGCAAGGTGTCCCAGATGCATTTGGCTTCAATCTGGGATGGAATCCTTGCAGAGAGAATTGATGAAAAATCCACCACTTGAGTTTTGAAAGGAATGTGACACAGAGAAACACTAGCCCACCGCCCAGACACATGAAGAAATCCTGATTGTACCATCAGAAATAATGTAGGAGGGAAGGGTGAATGAGACTCCAATCTTGAAGCTTGACTTGTTAGTTTGGAAAATAACTCAACCAGTGGTAAGACCCAATCCTCTAAGTAGGGTGAATGAAGAGCACCTCCTTGGAATGCCTTTTCAACTTGTATTGAAGAAAGAATAGTCTGTCCAGATCCTTTTGGATCCAGAATACCTACTCCTCAGTTGTAGCCACTGCCCCCATTTTAGTATCATCTGTGAATCTGATCAGCAGACTGGTCACCCCCTCCTCCAGGTCACTGATGAAAAGACTGAACAGGATCGATGTCAGAACAGAGGCCTGGGGGACCTTACTCTTCACCGACCACCATCCCGATGATTTCCCATTAACAGTTACCCTCTGCTTTCAGTTTCTCAACCATGCCCTAATCCACTGGACAGTGCACTGGTCTATCCCAAAACTTCTCAGTTTCTCACCTAGGATATCATGCGGCACTTTGTCAAAGGCCTTTGTCCAGGTAAACCTCACCCACTGTGTCCCCTCCATCTAGTCACCTCATAACCTTATCATAGAATTCCAGAGGTTGCTCATCATAACCAGCATGAACAACTTCTTCAGTTCATTGTAGGCTTAACACCAATTACTTTTAAAATGATAGGCAATTTAAAAAGTTAAACCATCTACGATCTGCATCCAAAACTTAGGACTTGTGCTAGTAAACTTCAGTCCCTCCCTGATGTCCTTCTGCAAGCATCTTTATTCAAGTAGGCTTTAATATGAAAGTGCATCTCCTATTTTAAGTACAAAGTCTGCATGGTGCAGGTTTCTCCCCTGGGTTGAGCTCTGGAAAAACAGATATATGGGTTTTCAGAATGGTTCCATCTCAGAGTGGAAAAGCCAGCTGTGAAAGACACCTATATGCTTACATGGAACTCTCCCTAGTACAATCCAAATCAGTTTTGCAGCTGTATTTCAAACATTTGTTATTTTTCTTTCCTTTGGTAAGGTGAAGAATGTTTATACAGAGCTATGCATATGTATCTTCTTTTTTAAAAAAGAACACAAAGAGGCAAGTCGCTCGATGAACAAGAAAAAGAAATTGAAAACTGATCCATTAAGCCAGTTCACTCTGTAGATGCTCTTAAAATTGTCTCTATCCTAATCCTAACAGCTGCTTGCTTTTAAGAGACAACCAGCCTACCTTTAAATAGTGGATTCAGATGACTCATTAGAGGAAAAAATATTGTCAACACATCTTATGAAAAGAGGAGGCATGAAAAAACTAACTTGGACATTCAGTTTAGCTGAACAAAAGCAAGTGGCCAAATAAGGAAAACACACACAATGCACAATTGTTAGAAATCATGGAAAACTAGCAATGCAGCAGGACTTTCAAGAGCAGTGCATAAAACTAACAAGAATAAAGTGATACCTAGGTCACCCTCCAGACTGTGTAAACAGGAGTAGATTCTGAACATAATACTCCTTTTCTGCTTAGTACTGATAAAACCATAACTTGAATTGTGTGTCCAGACCTGGGCAGTATGATAGTGGAAGGAATGAATGACAGTGGAAGGAATTCAAGGAACGCTAATAAAATGAGGGAGCACAGAAAACAAATCCCATGGGAAAAGGCTAAAGCAACTATATACAGGGAGTGGGGCAGAGAAGAAATTAAACAATTTATAAATACAGGGTTCAAAAGAGGGATCAGTACCCTTACTGAGTGGCTCTCCAACATCTTTTCATGAATACAACCAGAACAAATATATGGTGTATAACTTACAGAGAGAGGAGAAAGACAATTGTTCCCTCCAGGTTAACCACAACTGCTAGTGTTCTCCAGGAACGAATAAGATATCCTAACAAAGCATACTGGGCAATTCCCACAGCAAAGAAGAGGCCACCAATTGATCCTAGCATAAGACAGATAAGGAAAATGGAGTTAATCCATGCAGCTATGCTTACTAACAGGCTTTTTAAACAAAAGAGGCAAGCAGGGAAGAGTATCTAAACAAAGCATATCTAAAAACAAAGAACTTCAAGGAAGGAAGCAGGTAGGATTAATTAACAGAAAAAGACAAGGCAAATTACACTATAGCACCTGACTTACCTTGCATTACATTAACCACCTATATCATAAATGATTATGGGAAGGTGCTTAAAGATTAAAAGCACAGTTGTGTGCAAGTTTAAACACAAAAGTCCCTCAATACCTGGCATGCTGGGAGAAGTATGACTTTTTTCTCCCCAAACTTGCATAGGACTGCAGCCCGAGTAACCATTTGTCATAAAAGGTGCAAGTGTGATTTTATGCCAAACCAATTCAACACCTTTAGATCATACATTATTTTTCTTAGAAGATAAGAATAATATGAAGAAGTCTGGCCAAGGGCGTTCTAAACCCATTAACATAAGAGAATCCTTTTTGTTAACTGCTGATATAACAGTAATAGATACATAACCACAATTATGGCAAAAATGCACACTAAAGGATTTGGCATGAGAATATATCCTAAGAAAAAAACCTTAAAGCTAGTCGTTTCATCCATTCTTGTTCAGCTTTTATTCTCAACAGACCTTCTAAGTCCAGCACTACTTTAAAAAGTATACACAAGATTCAGTGTATGGCATTTCTAGAGCTCAGAGCACTTATCCTTCCTTCTAATAGCACAGTTGGGATGCAGTGCACTAGTCACTGTGAACAGCAACATGCTGCACCCATGAACCTCAGGGAAGGAGGGAGGGAGGGAGGGAAAGTGCTCCTAGACACTGTGGTTAAAAGTGAACTAATCTGAAGCCCAAGTAACAAAAGGTGAACCTCTCTTCAGTTGGTTAAGGCCTTCATGCCAGAGCAAAAGTTTGCCCTGCTATTACTTATGTTTAATGGGCACTCCACAACAGCACTGGTAGCACAATTATCATCAGTGGGATCATTTTATTTATTACATTTTTAAACTGCCCAATAATTGAAGTTTTAGCATACATAATGTTTAGCACATAGCAGCTTTGCCTGGCAACAGCAAAGCTAGAGTGATAGGCTGAGATAGTGCAACACATGACGAATCAGTTATGTTGACCCCATCATATACAGCTTGAAGTTTCTGGTGATATTTAAAATTAATATGAATACTGAAAAGAATACTCAACTATTTGCATCAGAGCCTGCAAGGCTTCAGAACAGATGAAGGACTATTAATAGGCATGCAAGGAATATAAGCATAGAACTTCTCTATACATTACAGTGAGACAGCACATCACATGCATCCTATAATATGCATGCTTATATTTGTTGAGTTTGTGCATGAATGGTGGGAAACCAGAGCTAATCACAGCTTCCCACAGCAGGCATGCTTATGATAAAAAAAGGGGGTGTACTTGCTTCTGAAACATTATGGGACTAATTTCATAGGTCAGGGGTCCTCAAACTTTTTCAAAAGGGGCCCAGTTCACTGTCCCTCAGACTGTTGGGGGGCCAGACTACAGTTTGAAAAAAATGAATTCCTATGCACACTGCACATTAAAAATTTAATTAAAATTGAAATAAATTTAAAAATTAATTAACATTTTAATAATTAATTAAAATTAAAAAATGTTTGATCGCTTGCTTGGAAAAGGCACTTGATTTTTTAGATGGCACGTTACTTAACTGACTTAATCCAATAATCTTCATCAGGTAGCAATACTGCGTCATCTGCACATTAAATGTGGATTGTCCTTCCAGAAGCTCCAAGTAGCACGGTGATTTCTTTCCTCCCTCCAGAGAGGGGCAGCATGGGGCAAGCAGCCTTGCAGCCTGGTCCGGAGTTGCTTTATTCAGAAGCAAGCCTGGTGGAGCTCAGAGGGCTTGTTCCCATGCAATGGCGCAGAAGATTCGGATTGCAGCCATGTAACCCCCTTAGTTTGAGGACCCATGTCATGGGCGCATGAAGTACACAAAGCTGTTTTCATAATCTTTAAAGCATTCCTGGAGCATTTACTAAACCCAAATTTGAATTTACTAGTAGAGTTTAAGCCAGTTTAATATAGAACTGTAGTAGTTAAAATATGTACCTGCCAGAGCCCAATAAGCAGTGCCCACACATTCATTCAGCAGGACAAATGCCACCAGTGACATGCCGCCATTCATTACTCCAACCAAGAAGCGAGATACTGCAAAGAACTCATACGAAGGGGAGAATCCATTAGCAACAGCAAACACGATGTCAAGAGCAAAACCTGGAAGGCAAACATAAAGTTGTCCTTTAGAGTTGCCGTGGGTAACTAGTAGACATCCAGATGATTTTGTCTACGTGTCCCATCATCCCTCCCCATTGGCTATGCTGGCTAGGGCTACTATCAATTGTAGTTCAAAACATCTACATGACCACAAGTTGCTCTCTCCTGCTTTAGAAGTATGACTAAGAGGTGTTTTTTTTTTCACCATCAGTGCTGACACACTGAAATCTATAGTGGCACTGAAATCTGTTACTCAAAATGTACTCCATAACAAAAAATATAGCTGTTTAAAATATGTACAAAAGTCTACTTTACTGTAGAATACCTTATCTGTGGAAAAGAAAAAAGAAAAAGCCAGATCATCTTATTTGATTATTACTAAAAGTGTTCTGAAGTTAATGCCTCCCAATCAAGCCCTGTACAACATCTGGTTGTACAACTGTTGTGGGGCTGGCGGTCCTTCCCAATGAAAGCAATTACTCCAGTTAATGCTACAGAAGCCTTTCTACTACACAATATTACAGATACAGTCAAGTAAGCTAGGAAGTTGTCCTCTCTCTCTGAATGAGTTCAGCTCATGGGGTGCTTTTTACTCTTCTGGGCTGCCCTTCCGTGGGCGGGTTACTTTTACTCCTCTCCCTGAGTCACTCAGGATTAGATTAAGAGAAAGTTAGAAGATATCTATTATTAAATATTTAGGAGTAAAATTACAAAAACTGCAATGTTTAAAAGGGAATAATTTTGATAATTTAAAATATGAAATGAAAAAGAAATTGAATGAATTTAGAAAGATTGGTTTATCGTGGTTTGGTAGAATAGTGGCATTTAACATGAAGATTTAACCTAAGATTAATTTCTTGTTTATGATGTTGCCCATCATTTGAAAGAGATTTGAAAAAGATTTGAAAGAATGGCAAAACTTAATGCATTTTATAATGGGGACAAGAAAGCAAGGATTAATTTTAAAAGGATGGTAAATGCCCCAGAAAATAGGGGGTTTAGGAATTCCCAATGTAACATTTTATTATATAGCAAATCTAATGAGGCATATACCAGATATTATATTACAGCCAGATAAAATAATATGGGGTAAAATAGAATATCAAGATGTAGAGGAATCCTTATTAAATATCTTTCTCTAACAAGACAATAATAATATTATTAACAAGATAGGAAAGCTCTTTCTTAAGAATATGGTCAGAATTAGGAATACATATAGAGGCATATTTATCCCACTGATTTTGCCATTATATCCAATTATGGAATTAGAAAGATTCCTAGAGAATTTGGGGAGTAGTTTGAGGGAAGTACTGAAGAGTAAACATGTTATTAGGTTGAAAGATTGGTTAGAGAAAATGAAGAGTAAAGAAACGATACAAGCAATCCTGGGACAGGGTAAAGTAACTTGGTATAATATACTTCAATTAGATCATTGGACTAAAGATTGGTTGAAGAAATATGATAATATACAAGATCTGAAGATACAATTTTACAGAAATAAAAACAAGATAATAAGTGGATGAAATGAATGACAAACTTTATAACATAGTATTAGAAGGGGAGGACCAATATGAGCCTCTTAAAGAGCCTTGGGAAATAGATTTAAAAAGAAATATTATCACTGAAGAATGGAATAATATGTTAAGAGAATTTTAAAATTTATGTCAGTAAGAATTAAAGAGAATTTTTAAGAATTAGTTTGGAAATGGTACTTAACTCCAGTTAAATTGGGTTATATGAATAATGAATATTCTAATGTATGTTGGAGATGCAACTGGGAACTGGGTACATATTTCCATATGTGGGGGAAGTACAAATATATAAATGAGTTTTGGGAAGTGATTTTCAAAGAAATTGGTAATATATTGAATTTAAACATTGAAGCAGACCCTGGACTAGCATTATTGTCATTATTTAGAAAACAAGTGGGACAAAATACTAAAGAATTGATGACAAATTTATTAACAGCAGTAAGATTAATAATAGCAAGGAATTGGAAAAGAAAAGGTGAATATCAAATAGATGACTAGGAGAAAGAAGTTTGAAATATAGCTATTAATAAGTTAACTTGCAATATTAAATGGAAGAAAGGTTTGGTAAGTAAAAATTTTTTGAAAATATTTGGAGACAGTTTATTGAATATGTCTTAATAAAAGAGAGCCAGTGTGGTGCAGTGGTTAAGAGCACGGGACTGGGACTCAGGCGATCTGGGTTCTAGTCCCTGCTCGGCCATAGATCCAACTTTGGGCCAGTCACAGATTCTCAGTCCAACCTACCTCACAGGGTAGTTGTGGGGATAAGATGGAGGAGAATGATGTATGCTGCCTTGAGTCCTTTGAGGAAAAAGGCAGGATATAAATCAATCAATCAATCAATAGGGTTATGAACCATCAGAAGAGTCAATACAGTTCTGGGAGGGAAGTGAGAGGGGGCAACCTGAATAAATAGAAGATCTTACATTAAGTGGAATGTTTTGTTGGCCTTGGTGGAGGTAGCAGTGCTATTATTGTACTGTTTAGTTATGTGTATTAGTGTTTAATTATGTTCATTACTATTATATTAATTGTATTCTTTATGTATGCTCAATTAATATTTTTTAAAAGGATGCCAGAGATAACAGCTATGGTCTGTTAACGACAGGCACATACTAACAACTGGCACCTGATGTCCCCAAGAACTAGAGCATGGGCCATCACCCACAGGTCAGCTGACCTAGGCTGTGGAGGGATAAAGTCAGGAGAGAGAAAGGTTCTTTGTTGCTTTCCTTGCAGGTTCTACTCTGCTGTTCTTTCTCCATGGTGAAGATTGCTGTGTAACCCTGAGTATCCTGAGGCTATGGAAGGCAGAGCCTCTGTGTGCATAGCTAACGCTAGGATTTAGAATTCTTGTCTTCCATCCAAGTGAGCCAACAAGACCCTGGGAGTTGGGGTTTCTTCCTTGGCTTGTCTACTGTAATGTTGCTGCTGTCCAATCTCCCTTTCCCCCATTTTACTCTGTTTTATCCTTTTAGAATGTATGTTTTAGCTTCCTCCACTCCTGTATTTTATCCTTTTGAATAAACTGATTGTTCCCCAATGTTGGGTGTGCTGTGTGCTGAATCTAGTGACTGGTCTAGGACTGAGGAACCAGGGAAGGCAGGGTTTGGCCCAGTTGGTCAGGGAAGTGGGGAATTCCTGATGCCTTTCTGTTACATGGTGGCAGAGGTGGGATTCTGACACATGCCTTATCCCAAAAGCAGTGGAGGCTTTCAAGAGGCTTTTCTTGATGCACGCAAACTCTTTGTTGTGTTGTTCAGGGCTAGCATGACAGGTATAGAGGAGAGACAGAGTAGGGAGCAGGGGAGTCCACAAGATGAGTTGGCAGATGAAGGTGTGTCAGAGTTGGTGTGGGATTTGGAGGTCACCCTGGGCAATGAGGAACCATCTGGCAGGAGCAACTGGAGCAAGCAAGAACATGAAGGAGCAGGGCTGGAGCAGACTAGGGCATGCAGGATCAAACAGGAGTAAGGTAGGAACAAACTGGAACAAAGAAGGAACAAACCAGAGCAAGACAGGAGCAACTGGAGCAAGCAGGAGCAGACTGAAGTATGCTGGAACAAGGCCAGAGCAAACTGGAGCAGGACTGAAACACAGCTGAGGCAAACTGCAGCAGGGCTCAGAGATAAAAGGGCCAGAGCACAAGGAGTCACCAGGACAACTTGCACTGCTGTGGCAAAGAAGAGTAGTGCCATAAAAGCTTTTATGCTGGTCTTCAGGACCTCCAGCTGCACTGCATAATTGCTCTTCAGTTGCTCCCTGCAAGAGCCTGCAAGGGTGCTCCTGGTTCTACAGGGACTTGCAGGGTCACGCAGGCCCTGATCCTGACATAGAGGGGGAAAGCGACTTCAATGGCAACTAGTGATTCTCAATGGGTTCTGGCAAGCTGTGCTGGAGCTGGCCCATGACTCAGCTTGGGCATATAGGCATGAAAAGGATCCTGCAGTGAGTGTCCAAGGGATTTTAATGGCTGTGGTAGCACAGACTCTGAGAACATATTGTCAGTTGTGTCTGACTTGCTAGCTCTGGGAATCCAGTCAGGATATATGGAGAACCCCCCTTCCCCAAAGTCCTTGCCTGTGCTCAAGACCCCCTTTGAACATGTAGGAATGGATATCATGGGGTCATTCATTCCCCCATCTTGGATGGGGAAGAAGTTTTTCTTTTAATGTGATATTTTGCCACTCGATACATGAAAGCCATTCTGTGGCTTCAATTTCAGCCACTGCTTTGGCCAAGGCATTGTTGTCTATCACTACTGGAAAAGGAATGCTCAAGGTTCTATTTTCTGATCAAGGCTCTCATCTGATGCAGAAACTGTGGGAGTTGACGGGGTGCAACATGGGGCATCCATCCCCTACCACCATTGGGTTGATGGAAAGGTTCAACCAAACATTGGGACAAATGTTTTGAGCGTATGTGACTCAACATCCTAGGAACTGGGACCAAGCTTTGCCATACTTGTTGTTTGCATATATCGGGATGTCCCTCAAGAAAGTTTGTGGTTTTCCTCCAATGAACTGATGTTTGGGAGGAAGGTGTGGACCATTGACCTTGTTAAAGGCAGAATAGGAAGGGAAGCAGGATAATACCCCACAGGTGGTGGTCATGTTTATGCAAGATCTTTACTGTACTTTGGGAGAGGTGGAGTTAGCAGCTGGAGAATATCTTGAACAAGTCCAGCATAAACAAAAGACTTGTTACAACCAGACAGCAATACTGAAGGAATTTGAATTGAGAGATAAGGTGCTGCTGCTGAAACCAGTAAAGCCAGAGAAACTGGCTTTGAGGTAGGAAGGCCCATGGGAAGTAAAACAGTGGGATGGGGAGGTGAACTATTTATTGGAATGGCTACAAGCCCCCCCCCCCCACAAAACAAGAATATTCCACACAAATATAATGAAGCCATTTTATGACTAGCTGGGTATGGTGTTCTGGTATTTGGTGGATAAAGAGAATACAGGGCAAGTGGTTTGAGGAACGCCAATAAGAAGGGGGAACAAAAAAGCAGTTCTATCCCCAGGGTTAACTATTGTTCAGAAAACCCAGCTGTGGGGCCCTCCTACAAGGTTTTCATTTAATGATCTCTAGTTTGCTGGGATGCACATATCTTGCCAAGCATACCATCAATATTGAGGACCACCCCTTCCCTTCAGTCAGTCCCTTATTGGACTACAGAGCCTCATACCCAGGAGACAGCAAAGGAGATTCAAGCCATGTTGGAGATGGGAGTAATTGTGCCCAGCCAGTCCCCCTGGTCTGCCCCCATAGTTCTGGTAAGCAAGCCTGACCCAGGAAGCAGAGGCAGATTTTGCACTGATTATTGAAGGCTCGACTAGCTCATGTTACCAGACCCCCTTCCCTATGCTGCAGGTGGATGATTTACTGGAACAGCTAATGCAAGCCCAGTATATCACAACCACTGATTTAACAAAGGGCTATTGGCAAGTCCCCTTGGATAAGGAGTTCGCTGCCAAAATTGCATTTTTCAAACACCTGGGGCTTTACCAATTTACAGTTTTGCCCTTCAGCCTGCACATCAGGCCAGCTACATTCCAGCAGCAAATTAATCGGCTCCTCAATGGGATAGGGAGGTATGTTTGCACATATTTAAATGATGTGGCCATCTTTAGCCCTACTTGGGAGTCAAATTTCGAGCAAGTCTGGGAGGTGTTCCAGCATATTCAGGAAGCCAGGCTGTCTGTGATAGTTCAAAAATGTCAGTTTGAGTTGGGGGAAGCTGTATATCTGGGGCACCAAGTAGGCAATGGATGGCTCCAACCATTAGTGGCTAAGATAAGGGTGGTACAACAATGGCCTCAACCACAAAGAAACAGGTTCAGTCCTTCTTAGGATTGTCCAGGTATTAGTGACAATGTATCCCACATTTTAGTCAAGTGGTAGCTCCCCTAACAAATATGTGCAAGAAAAGAAACCCAGTTCAGGTTTGATGGATGGAGCCAATGAGCATTTGAGGCAGTAAAGGCAAGTCTGTCCTCTCCGCTGATCCTGCATGCTCCAGATTATGGGGGTCCATTCGTCCTTCAAACAGATGCCTCTGAGGTGGGGGTTGGGGTGGTATTATTGCAGGAAGAAGCTGGGGAGGAACTGCAGTCAATCACTTACTTGAGTGGGAAACTGCTTCACCTGGGAAAGAGTCTTGGCTAATATAGTGCCTGGCAATCGTATGGGCAGTAGGAAAATTATGCCTGTATTTGTTGGGCTGGGCTTTCCAATTACAGACCACTCTCCCTTATGCTGATTAGATAGAATGAAGAACAAAAATCATAAATGGTTGCACTGGAGCCTGGCCATGCAAGACTATGATTTTTCAGTGGTTCATATCAAAGGCCAGCTGGCAGATGGGTTATCTAGGGCCTGTGGGCAAGGATTGGAGTCTTACTATGGTTATACATGTGCTGGTTACCTCATGCTTGGATTACTGCAATGCCCTCTATGTGAGACCGCCTTTGAAAACAGTCTGGACTATGCAACTTGTTCAAAATTGGGCAGCATGCCTGCTTACGGGGACCAGCATCTGTGAACTTATCACGCTGGTCTTATGCAGGCTACATTGGCTGCTGGTTGCCATTCAGGCCCAATTTAAAGTGCTCACAGTAATACAGAAAGCCCTAAATGACTTGGGGCCAGGTTATCTGAGAGAGTGCCTTTCTCCGTATGTACCTGCCTCATCAGTGCAGTCTTTGTCTGAAGCCCTCTGCTGCATTCCTCCCCCTCCCGAAGTGAGGGGGGAAATTAAAAGGAAGAGGACTTTTTCAATAAGTGCCCCATTCTAGAATTCAATTCTGCTGGAGGTTTGGTTGGTGCACACTCTTACTTTTAGACACCAACTTACAGACATTTTTGTTCCATTGTTATTTTTACAGTTGGTTTTTAAATGATGATTTTACAATGTAATAATACTAAATGCTGCTATCTGATTAATTTATACTAGATAATGATATTAATTATGTTTTAATGGGTTATGTTCTTTTATTTTTTTGGATCCCCTGTATGTTATTTTGTTTAATATCCTTATTTTGTTTTACTTAATTTTAGTAGTTTTTATTGTATATTGGTTTATTGTGAATTGTGGATTTTATTGTGTTGTATGTTGTATTGTATCCTACATTGTACACTCTGGATTTTATTATGTTGTGAGCCACCCAGACAACCTATGGCTAATGGAGCAGCATATAAAGTGAATAAATAAAATAATAAAATAAATAAAACCTTGACCCAATGGAAGGACTGTTCCCATCTTTCCGCTATAGCTATTTCTGCAGAGAGAAAGCAGAAGCATATGGTACCCATACTTAGATCTGCAACCTAGGAGATAGTTAACAGGAGGAGAAGTTTCTATCATCTTCTGCAAGGTTTCCCTAGTGGCTGGAGTAGGGGCTATACCAAGAAAAGCTGGGACTCTTGTTCACATGAGCTTTCAGCAAGATTTAGGTTATCTGAATTACTTATGAGTTTGCTTGGGTATGAGCTAGAAAGCAAGTTTCACATAAGAAATAAATATACAAAATAGATATACAACAGCTATATAGATGATTTGTTTACTTCAAGCTAATAGGTCAGTGCTTTGATATCCTAAGAACATGGTCAACTGGGCAAGGTATGGCCTATTAACTCAGCTATCTCTCCACACAATATAGATCAGAATATACCACAAAAGAAACTGAAGCAAGAACCTGTATAACAAACATTGTAGCTGACCATGGCAACTCAAAGCATTCATGGTAATAGAAAACCCCAGCATCACATAACAGCATATGATCACTAGCCAGTGTGACACATAGGACAAAATACTCCCAATCCCCAATGTGGGAACTAGTCCCCAATTAAAATCCACCCATACATTTTTGTTCTTATAAGAAATCTTATTAGAAGACTATCATCTTTCCCAAACTCCTTTCTGTCTGCAACAGCTTCCAATGCTCCAGACAAAGGTTGCAAAACCCCATCAAATTTGGGAAAAGACACCTGAGGTATTTGCAGTACTAATAATATAGTAATTCAAAGAAGGCTCTATGTCAGAAGATAGTCTGTTTAATGGAACTTCAGCCTTTTTCTTCCATATTCTAAAGATAAGACCAAGCTGAGATAGTGTGAAATTCTCCTTGCATCTTTTGTTAATTTAACTTACCTACAAGATATACTTTTTTCCGTCCAAAACGATCTGAGAGTTGTCCAAAAGTAATCACTCCAACAAATACACCACTGAAGAAAAATGAACTGGCAGCACTGATCTTGTATGATGTGTTGCCAATTAAAAACCACTAGGGGGAGAAAAAGCAGTGTTAGAAGAATAAGTTGCTTCTCAAAATGCAGAAATATCTTTTTAAAGGGATAGAAACTATGCTTTGTTCATATTTCAGCATACTCTAGCATACTGTGTAACTAACAAATAACACCAGAAAGAAAGTTAGATTTTTCTGATACAAAACTGAAAGTATTGGAACATCTCAGCTTACTGATTTCTCTCTGTAGACATGCTTCAACCTCTCTTTCCTACGCGACACATTAAGGCAGATTCCAGACAGGGCCATTTCAAAGACTTTTCTAATATCAACCTTCATATATCACAGGTTAGCAACTTTAATGACAACTCAAGAGTTCATATTCTACAAGTTCATCTTCACATAATTATGAAACACTGCATAAAATTACACCAATATTATTTGACAAATTAAACAATAATAAACTATGAAATAAAAAACCTCCCTCCTGTATCGAATGTCATAGTGGCTTACCTGCGACTCTACTAATCATAACAGGTTAAATAGAACATGGAAAAAGGGAATTGATCCAAACAGGCCGTGAATTCGGGAATGAAGTCCATGGACAGCAGACAGTAAGATTAAGATTTTGCTGGGTGCTTGCTAACATAGGTCAAACCAAGAGTCACCAAGATGGATGACACAAATACCAGCAAAGATAGATTAGGCCTGTGCAGAAAACTTCGAAGCATTGAGGAAATGTTAGAGCAATTTCAAAGTACTGTAGTACATTCCCCTGGGCTGAAAACAAGATGATTATAAAGAAAATTCCTGTACAGTTTTTAAAAAAGTTTCCCAAAGCATATCTACTGCCCATATGTGGCAATCAATTTTATCTCATCAAATCATCTCGTCATAATTCCAGTGTATATCGTTAGCATTTCAAGCTTCTCATAAAGCACTGCTGTTGTTCAGTCACAAAGTGGTGTCCGACTCCTTGCAACCCCATGGACAACATTCCTCCAGGCTAATAAAGCATAGCAAAGAAAATAAAATTTAACACAAGCTCATTTCAATGATCATAAAATGCTTTATACTATTTAAAAAAGAGGCAACAGAGTTGCTTTAGTCATTGCTAAAAACTGCAGATACAGCTATGCTTGAATGCCATTTCTAGAAAAATGCCTCCTCAAATAATTCAACTCAATCAATAAAAAAGTACAGTACTTCATACTTTAGCTTCTGTTCTTATCTTCTCGGGAACAGTGGGTTGTTTCAAAGTAAAATCTTCTATTACACTACATAATTACATGAAATCTTACAGCCATAACTTTTGAAGTAAGGAATGGGTACATGCAATTCCCTCACTCCTACCCCTAATAAGGCAGAACTCAACAGGAAGGATACTATACCACATTTGGTTAATTATTGATGCATAATACCATTTACAAAATTTTTGTGTATGGTTTAAATGGGTCTGGAATAAGGAAAGTAGACAGTTTATTACTTGATTATTCCAGACCCACTTTAAACACACACTTTTTGGGGGTTACTTTCTAAAAACAGAGTCTAGTGAACCAAGATGATCAGTGCAGGACATGATAACCTGCTCCCAGATGGACATGCTCTTATTCATGAATCATGACAAATTAAAAGCAATATAGAAGTATAATGCCTTAATTAGCTAATATCACAAAAGAGTGAGCAATCATTTGAGTTCTTCAAAACATTTCCTCAGCCTGGATTTTCAGCGAAGCCAGGCATGATACTGGACTCTTATATCAGCTGGCTTACTAGTCTTAAAATGGAAAGCCGAAAGTGCTAGCATTCTAATTTACAATCAGCTTCAGTCAGCAACCAGATAATAAACTGGGAACTCAGCCAACTGCATAATAGTAAAGAAAAGCCTTTCGATAATGAAGTCAATCAAGGCCATCTTGGTATTACCAGTGTGAAGCATTCAAAGGAGATTGTAAAGGATTGTTACCGTCTGTTCTAAAGTAAACCAGCAGGTCTTTCCAAGAATCCAAAAACTTTCATTGTAAAGGATCATTCCAGGGCCATTCACACGGGTTTAATCAACTCCACAAAACATGGAAAAAGGAATCAGGTCTAAGATCCCACAGCAAGGTTAGACATTGTTTCTAGCAAATTTGTAGGCTGTTCTAACCAGTCATTGATTCAGGAGTTGCCTGGATATAGCCATGCATCCAGCTGTAGGTAATCACATAGACATGGCAAGCAATCTGGCACTCCACTGGAAAAGAAAGACCTCCATGCTTCTCTTCAAGCACCATTGTTTATGAGGACAGAGTCGAGAGTCTTTGTGGGGAGAGGGAAGACCCCTCCTTCACCATGGAGGGTCCAGCCTCTTCAGCATGTTTTCCACCAAAGTTCCTATCTATGCTTCATCCATAGATGACAGGGCAACCCTACAGCCTGGTGAATCATGCTCTTCTTCTTCAGAGAACCCAACAAGAGGAGGCATGACAGCTATGTAGCCTGAGAGGGTTATCCTATGGCTCCTAAACAGTGTTTGGAGGGCCATAGGATTCTTTGGATTCCCAGATCGGTGTAAGAAGCAGAGCTCCAATCCACACCACACACTACACCCAGCTTTAAAAGAACAGTGCCTGCTGCTTCTTTTAGGGTGGAAAATCAGAAATAGGATATAGGGGGTAGGAAGGGCAGTATACCTGAAGAGTGGGAGGTAAGGAGGTATGAAGAAAGCCTCTGCTGCTCCTCCCACTCTTCACTAGATAGAAACATAGAAACAGAGCAAATCAGAAGCGGCCTTCCCAGCAATCTAGTCAGACCCCTGGCTCCATTCATGACATGGGTGCACCAGAGTAGTACAGAGTAGCAGAAATACCTCTCTCGATCTAGAAGCCACGCTTCTGGCTAAGCATCCATGGTGGTTCATCCTCTTGACCACCATGTCACACTGCTGGCTCGTGTTTAGCATGTGGTTCACCAGTACCTCAAAATACTTTTCACAAGTGCTGCTCTCCAGACACTTGTCCCCTAACCTGTACTTATGACATCCATTCCTATGCCCTAAGTACAAGACCCTGCACTTCTCCACATTGAATGCCATCCTGTTATCCCCTACCCATTTCCATAGTCTGTCCAGATTCTTCTGGATCTGGAGTACCTGCTCCTCAGTTGTGGCCATTGCCCCCATTTTAGTATCATCTGCAAATCTGATCAGCAGACTTGCACCCCCTCTTCCAGGTCATTGTTGAAAAGACTGAACAAGATCAGTCCCAGGACTAAGCCTTGGGGGGGCTCCACTCGTCACTGGCCACCAGCCCAAAGTTTCCCCCCTAATAATTACCCTCTGCTTTCAGTCTGTCAACCATACCCTAATCCATCAGATGGTGCATTGGTCTCAGCTCATAATCAGCCTTAGCCTTGTGAAGAATTCTTCTGCAATGAGCCTCCTCTTCCCAGTATACCCTTTTGTCTACTTGCACCAGTGCCCATTTCCTATGGAGGTTCCTCTCATGTGCAATCCCTCTTACCACCTCTTTTTGCATCCTCAGCAGCGTTATCCTTTGCTTCCCCACCTTGCTAACTAGTGCTATTGTCAAGGCTTGCATCTCTTTTGAGTGCCAGCCACCCTTCCTGAACTCCTTTGCCTTCCAGTACCCTCTCCCAGAAGACTTTCCCTAGTCCGGCCTTCAGTTGACCAAAGTTGGCCCTGGTGAAGTCCCAGCTTCAAATACTCAACCTGCTGCTCATCCTCATTCCCCTGATCTCAAAGCAAAGGATGGAGTGATCACTCACATCCAGAGCTCCCTAAGTTGCTCAGAATTTGCTCATAACTTCATGCTTATAACCAGCTCTGGTTTGGAAGTGTACAGGCTTCAAGGAAGCAACGAATAGGATTGTACATTTAGTCTCTACTAGCTTCATAACCAATTTCAGATTGCATCCACTTCCCCCTCCCCACCCCACCCAATTTTGCTTAACATTCAGCCTATAGAGGAGTCCTGGACAACTGAAAAGCTCATTATTTACTGGTCCTTTATTCCATCCTAATAAAAGCATTGTTGTTGTTCAGTTGCACAGTCGTGCCCAACCCTTCACAACCCCATGGCCCATAGCATGCCAGGCCCTCCTATCCTCCAAATAAAAGCATTATCTTATTGTAAAGTTTTTTAAAGAATCCAGCACAGCTACCTATGACTTTTATATGATTACTTTAGAAAACTGAGTGTACCAAAGCTTTCCACAAAATGTCATATTGTTTCAGTACCTCAGAAGCTATTGATGTAAAGTTGCTGCTAAAGTGTATGTGTTTATGAACTTCACTCCCATTGGCTGTCAGGAGCCATTTTCCAAAAGCTCTTTCTTCAGCAGTTGACTCATTATGATGGCTCTGATTAGCTGAGATGCCTTCAAGATCCCAGTAGTAAGGTGGTGTTGCCCCGACCAGTGCAATAAGAATTGCTTCACTGGCTACATAGAGCTGAAACAGTAAGAGGCAGAATCAAGATCAATTTCAGAACAACAAACAACATTTAGGCACAAAATAATGAATTTCCTGTTATTATATCACATCTACACAAAAGTCCAAAAGTCCTTTGCCCTTCAAATTAGTTTTTCAATAATTCTGACTTATCAAGTCAAACTCTGACATATCAAACTCCCATATTATCCATTCACAGTGGAATGATTCACCCAATTATATCTCAGTTTATTAAGGCATGAACATCCCCTTTGCCTGTGTAGGAACCTCCTTACTGAATGTGCAATCAAATCAAGAAGCCCATTAATTAAACAGTTTCCTAGTGAAGATGAAAAGGAAGGTGACTGATTCACTGGTCTACAAATTATGGGAAATTATCAACCTCTGAGATAAAAACGTGCTAATTCTTACCTATTTTGATTAGATGAATTAGAAGACAGGTGATAAAGGTGCTAGTTGGCTAAAGTTTTCAAGATATTTCACAATAAAGATTTATACAAAGGCAAGTATATTTGCCTTCAAGGGAGGGAGGTGTCTGATGATCATGATGCTTTGTAACTTCTCGACAAAGTATGGTAGAACAATGAAAATGGCACATGGAAGTGTATAAATTTATCTTCACTCTGAGACTAAAGATTATTATCTAAATGTAATTTATTGTTCTTTTATTGCAAGGTGCATTTGTCATGCTCAGATCTACGCATCATACAGTTACATTTGGTGGTTTGTGAAAGTGTCATTGCTTAACATATCCAAGGAACAGAAGCCAATATTTTATATTGATATTTTCCCTCAGAATATTTATATATAAATATATTGATATTTTCCCTCAGAAGCCAAGATGCCTTGAAACTGTGTAAACTATGCAGATAACTTCTGCTGCATTTGTGATGAGGTTACATTTGCATCTCAAAAGTGCAGTATGACGGCAGTGATAAAAAAGGCACACCACCTATATTTTGGATGCAAAATAGGGGACAAGAGTTGGGCCCCTCATTATTGTTGCATTATGTGTGCACCTTATCTGTGTCATTGGCTAAAAAGAAAAAAGTGCATGCCTTTTGCAGTCCCAATGGTGCGGAACAAACTCACCAATCATTATAGTGACTACTATTTTTGCATGGTTCCCCCAATTGCAAAAGGGATCTCAAGAAAGAACAAGTGGACTGTGGAATATCCAAACATTCCATCCACATTGCATCCTGTACCCCATGGTGAGAACTTGCCAATTCCAGATCCACCGGTATCCTACTCTATAGACTCAGAAGATGATAAAGATGATGAGCAGGATGCAGCTGATCCGGGGCTGTCGACGTCAGCAGACCCAAACTTTAGCCCACCGTATGCTCCTCCTGAACCACATCTAATTTCACAGAGTGAACTAGATGACCATTCTCATTGCTATATCACATTTTGCAGGAAAGTTATGGAGAATAATCACACATACCCCTTGTAATTTTGAATTATTTTGATGCAATTTTGACCTGAAGCTGTATCTTGGAAACTGGAGCCAATTAATACTCAGGACTTAATTTTCCTTTATTAGTGCCCCAATTCTGGTAAAATTTAGCTACATTCATTTCCAAGGTTTTCTGCTTGTAGACCAGTGTTAGAGATGTCATGGTTTGCTTACACTGTGAAAGCAGTAGAGAAGCAGTATGAGTGACCAAAGGACTTAAGTATAACTGATAGCAGAATTATCAACAATCATAAGAATACAACACTAACAGGAAACCTGGAACATCCATTCCAAAGCAATGTGCTTTTCCCTTTTCTACCTTATTTCAACTGAACTGTCCCCGCACTATAGCATCTACTAGTTCTCTCCTCCAGATTCACCTACTTTCAAATGTGAGGCACATGGAAGCTACAAGGCAGCATTTTTGGTTGTGGTGCACTGTGTCTCAAATTTCCATCATACATACTCAACTCACCTGGGTGCATCTTTCTAGGCACCATGTGTCTTGCTCCCTTGTGGATTCTATCATCCCTTGTAAATAGACACAAGAGAAGAAGTAAAATAGTTCTGGAATACAGCAAGTTCAGGTTCCTGAACAGATCTGTTAGTGTTCATTCAGGGATTCAGAACCACTGAGAACAGTCAGTGGATTTTGGACCTAGAGGAGAGGAGGGAACAGTGGCAGAGGCAGCAGACCCGGGCAGTGTGGAGAAGCCAGGGAGGATGAGGGATTCAGGAAGGCAATAAGGGCTGGGCTGCAGGTCAGGGGAGGCCTAGCAGGCCCGGTGCATGTGGAGAGGTGCAAGGAGGCGGGGCAAGCTGCCAGCTAGCCATGAGGCCTATTTGAGGCCCTGTGCCGTCATTGGTGGTGCTGACGGGCAACAAGAAAAGGGCATCGTCCCTTGTCTACATCCCTTAGCTGCAGCCCAGGCTGCCTGGAGACTTTCTTCCACTGGGTCATTTTTTTTTATTGTTTGTTACTATTATTCTGTCTGGGAGAACTAGATGAGTAGAGACAAGGAAGGGTAGTATAGGACAAGGCGCAGGACAGACAAGGCAGGAAAAGAAGGTACAGTCTGTGAGGGGTGCCCTATGTCAGGCCAGGAGATGGCCTTGGTGGGAATCACAGGTGTTGCTGACTGCTGCAACAGCAGCAGTGACATGTTTGCCCTTCTCCCTCAGGAGAGGCAGGGATACACTTGCTCCAGGTGCAAGCTGGTGTCCCTCACGGAGGAGGTGGTGAGGCGTCTGAGGGCCAGGAGAGGTCCCCAGGTCACCCAGGAGCAACCCCACTTTGGACAGAAGGATGGAGGGGCTGAGGGAGGAACAGCTGGGGAGACATGAAGGTATGTCACCCACAGGAGGAGAAGGCCATCAAGGCCTCCTCCATTTTCTAACGCCGACCTGGAGCTGGGAAATACTGTATTTTTCTGTGTAAAAGATGATACTTTTTCTTAAAAATATTCACCTAAAAATGGAGGGGCATCTTATACATGGAGGCCCAAGAGAAGAACTAGGGGCACGCTCAGAGGGGGGGTGGAGACTGGCGCAATGACAGGCGTGCTGGGGGGGAGGTGGGAGCACGTGTGCTGGGAGGGGAGACTGGGGCAATTGCGGACGTGCTCGGGGGGAGGCAGATGTGCTCAGCGGGGAGACTGGCACGATCGCGGGCGTATTCGGGGGAAGGCAGGTACTCAACCAGCTTCTAGTACTCGACCTGCTACACATTCCCAGTCCCCTGATCTCATAGCAAAGGATGGAGTGATCACTTGTATCCAGAGCGTCCCTAATCTGTACCTCATCTATCAGCTCCTCCCTGTTGGTCAAGACTAAGTCAAGGATGTTCCCCCCACCCCCTTCTTCGCCTCTCAGACCCTCTGTGTGAAAAATCCTCCCTCCATAGCTCCTAAGAAGCAACGTGACCTGGCTGTCACCGCTGAGTCTCCCAACTAATATCCAAGAGACTGAAATCTCTCATAATTACTGTGTCCCTCCCGCAAGATATCCTTAGAATCTGATCTGTCAGGACATTATCCAGGGTCTCAAGTTGACCTGGAGGGCAATAACATACCCCCACTGTCAGGTCCCTTTCCCTGTCAAAACCCCTAAGTTTCACCCAGACTGCCTCTACCAAATTCCCATCTGTGCTGCATTGTATCTCACTGCCTCCTATCCCTTCCCTGACATATAAAGCTATGCCCCCACCCCTCTTTCCCTTCCTGTCCTTTCTAAACAGGTGATACCCCTTTGTGTTTACATTCCAGTGTTGCCTTTTATCCCACTAAGTTTCTGTGATCCCCACCAGGTGATACCCTCCTATTCCCAGGAGAGCTTCAAGCTCTTCCTGCTCCTAGCATTGGTGTACATGCGCTCCTTCCCACAGCTCCCGTTCTTTGGAGTCTCCAGCCTCCTCCATCCTCCCATCCTCCCTGAGACTGGCCTTCTCTTTGTAGGAGTCCTGTCAGTCCCTGCAGTTCCTCTAAAACCCTGGTCCCAGAGCCCTGATCCTCTCCCCACACTTGTCCAGTGTGGACAAGTTTCTGGGGGGCCTGAGGCCCCCCCCCCAGTTTAAAGTCTTCCGGACAAAGCTTACTAGAGGATGTCCAAAGGACCTTTTCCCCATCCTCACGAAGTGCAACCCGTTCCTTGCTAGAAGTCCCCTGACAAGAAACCGGCTGCCATGGTCGAGGAACCCAAAGTGTTCCTTCTGGCACCACACCCTAAGCCAGTCGTTCACCTTGGCGACCCTCCTATCCCTGCCTGGCCCAAATCCCCAGACCGGTAAGATAGATGAGAAGGCCACTTGGGCCTTAAGGTCCCTGAGTTTCTTCGCCAAGGCATCGAAGTCCCTGGTGATCCCGCCCACAGCCTTCCTAGCTATGTAATTTGTGCCCACATGAGAGACCAGAAGCGGCTGGTGAGCCCCGGAGCAGACAAGATGCTTCACTCCGTCCTTCACATGCCGGATACATGCGCCAGCAGGCAACAGACCTTCCTCGCCTCAAGGTCAGGGCAGCGCACTGCCGCCTAAGTGCCCCTCAGCAGGGAGTCCCCAACGATGATCACCTACCATCGTCTCTTGGTAGGTGGCCGTGCCCTGGACCTCGCCTCTCCTTCAGCGGCCCCCTTGCTGCATGTGGTCCCAGGCTGGAGGTCTTGCTGGTCCCCCAAGGCCTCATCTGCCCCAGCCTCCCCAAGCAGAGAAAACCTGTTTCCCAGCTCCAGATCAACGTCAGGAGAAGGAAGAAGCCATGCTGGCCTCCTCCTCCTGTGGGTGACATGCCTCCATGTCTCCCCGGCTGTTCCTCCTGTGGTCCCTCCCGCAACCCCCTGTCTGGAGGGGGGCTGCTCCTGGGGGGCCTGGAGAGCTCTCTAGGCCCTCAGGCACCTCATCTCCTCCTCTAGGAGGGTCACCAGCTTGCACCAAGGGCAAGTGTATCCCTGCCTCTCCTGAGGGAGAAGGGCAAACATGTCACAGCTGTCGCATCTCCTGGCCTGCCATTGGGAACCCCTCAGAGACCCTACCTTGATCCCCCACCTT